CCCAGACCGAGGGTGATTGACCGTCATCTTGAACTTCTTCCATTTTCTAATAATTGCGCCAACAGTTGTTGCCTTCTCACCAAGCTGCTTGCCTATTGTCCTGTAGCCCATCCCAGCCTTGTGCAGGTCTACAATTTCATCCCTGATGTCCTTACACAGCTCTCTGGTCTTGGCCATTGTGGAGAGGTTGGAGTCTGTTTGATTGAGTGTGTGGACAGGTATATTTTATACAGGTAATGAGTTCAAACAGGTGCAGTTAATACAGGTAATGAGTGGAGAACAGGAGGGCTTCTTAAAGAAAAACGAACAGGTCTGTGAGAGCCGGAATTCTTATGTCATGCAATACAATGCAAATTAATTACTTAAAAATCATACAATGTGATTTTCTGGATTTTTGTTTTAGATTCCGTCTCTCACAGTTGAAGTGTACCTATGATAAAAATTTACAGACCTCTACATGCTTTGTAAGTAGGAAAACCTGCAAAATCGGCAGTGTATCAAATACTTGTTCTCCCCACTGTAGATAGCAAAATAGTTGGGAAGAGATTTTCGAAGTACCGATTTCATGGCACATGGTTTATGAACCGATACACAAAACAACCCTGGATTCAAAACTTTAAAATAGTTTTTCAATTTAAATTATTATACAATATTCTTGCAACCAATAGAATGTTATATACATGGGGGATACAACCATCCCAACTCCACAGATTTTGCTGCGAAGAGACAGAATCAATAGACATTTGTTTTGGTACTGTCCATATGTAGCTTGTTTTTGGTCGCAGGTTCAGAAATGGCTGAAGAATTGCAACATTTACCTGGAGCTCTCTGCAAATAGGGTGGCTATTTGAAGAATCTCAAATATAAAATGTATTTTGATTTGTTTAACACTTTTTTGTTTACTACATGATTCCATATGTGTCATTTCATAGTTTTGATGTCTTCACTATTATTCTACAATGTAGAAAATAGTAAAAAAATAAAGACAAACCCTTGAATGAGTAGGTGTTCTAAAACTTTTGACCGTTGAGTGTATATATATACAGTGGGGGAAAAAAGTATTTAGTCAGCCACCAATTGTGCAAGTTCTCCCACTTAAAAAGATGAGAGAGGCCTGTAATTTTCATCATAGGTACACGTCAACTATGACAGACAAAATGAGAAAGAAAATCCAGAAAATCACATTGTAGGATTTTTAATGAATTTATTTGCAAATTATGGTGGAAAATAAGTATTTGGTCAATAACAAAAGTTTCTCAATACTTTGTTATATACCCTTTGTTGGCAATGACACAGGTCAAACGTTTTCTGTAAGTCTTCACAAGGTTTTCTGTAAGTCTTCTCAAATCCTGCAGTACATATGATTTCCATACCATTGCATTTACTCCATTCCAGCCATTACAATGAGCATGTCCTCCTATAGCTCCTTCCACCAGCCTCCTCTGGCACACACACACATTTGTTGTGTGTGTTTTTCTTAACAATATTTTATCTTTGTGATTTATGTTCCTCTCTAGGTTTCTTCCTAGGTTTTCGCCTTTCTAGGGAGTTTTTCCTAGCCACCGTGCTTCTACACCTGCATTACTAGCTGTTTGGGGTTTTAGGCTGGGTTTCTGTACAGCACTTCGAGATATTAGCTGATGTAAGAAGGGCTATATAAAATAAAATTGATTGATTGATTGATGTGATCTTTCATTTTTAATTTGTATACGGCAGTGTTTATTGTACAGTTGTAAATACTCCTAAAAATATAAAGAGGTACCTTAAAATGATTTTAATATATATATATATTGATCTTGTTGAAATATTAATGTAGCCTTTGAGCTGGATGTAGGATAAAAACGAAATGCTGTGATTTGAATAATTTTTTTCATTAATATTTTTTCTATTGTTCTGGTGTGCAGAATTGCGTCTCCCTCACTTTGCGACTTGGGCAGGTTGCCTGATTGTAACTTTTTAAATGTCATTCTCATTCCATGTCCTTGTTGTTTCTCAACCCCTGGTAGACAGATGTTTTCTGTTGGCCAGCCTCTTCACTGTGCACAATGAGAAAAGGGAAGAACCTACCTGTCGTACAAACACACATCCTTAAATGAAAGCACAAAGTCAGTACTATTGTCTGACAGACTGTGCTTATAGCAGTCTGTTGTGTGATTTTGCCCATACAATATTTCTTTATGAATCACAGTAAAGCACAGGAACATCAAATCTTTCACACATAACCAATGTCAAGTCCATAGCAGCATACTGTATAATTGTACCAGACAAAGTGATTGAAGCTTGTTGATATTCTGTTTGTTGTTTTTCTTTTGAAGTTTTGTTTTTCATGAAGATTTACGTCAACTGAACTTTCGTAGCCCCCAGAACTAATAACTGTACAAATTCAATTTTCTTTGGTAGGCTTTACCAGTGTTTAGACTCAAGCATAATAGTGTAGATATTTGTACACTTATTTCAGCAAGAAAATGAGTTTTCTGGCACATAATGTATAGCATATACTGTGCATTGTCTTTTTATCAGTTGATCACACATGTGGACTGCATTTAACTGTGCCATTAATTTGTTTCAACCTGGCAGTTTGTTTAACTTGTACTTTAGTTAAATGCTTGCCATTATATTTTAATAGTGTAGCTGGTCCAGAACTATATAACTGGGAATAAAAATCTGATACAACTGACATTAGGCAAAGTACTCATAGCAACCTGCATCTGACCGGCGCATCTGATCTGGCTAATGAAGTCGTATGTACATTTAAGCTAGTCTATGCTAGTAGGCCTATCTAATGCAAAATGCTAATGCTGTTGTCTTTGCAGATTGGGTATTGATATGTTATCGGGCTGGGCACTGAGAATTTGTATGAGAAAGTGTGTGTGTGAGTGTTTGTTAGTGAGAAGTTTACCATCTGGGGTCAGCAGAAGTATAAAACACGAATGCAAAGTTGACTGACAGTTGAAGTAAAGTAAACCAAAGGGTGATTCCTAAATTGAATGCACCAATTTGTAAGTCGCTCTGGATAAGAGCGTCTGCTAAATGACTTAAATGTAATATAAATGTTTATTGATAACATTTTCTTTCTTGACAAATATTGTGAGCAACAACACTGTGACTAATAGGTGTTAATGTCAATGATGATACATTTACTATAGACATGTACCCACCAACAGGTTTGGTAATAAGTCCTTGATAGAGTTGTACAGTGCCTTGCAAAAGTATCCATCCCCCTTGGCGTTTTTCCTATTTTGTTGCATTACAACCTGTAATTTAAATGGATTTTTATTTGGATTTCATGTAATGGACATACACAAAATAGTCCAAATTGGTGAAGTGAAATGAAAAAAAAAAACTTTTTACAAAAATTCTAAAAAATAAATAACGGAAAAGTGGTGCGTGCATATGTATTCACTCCCTTTGCTATGAAGCCCCTAAATAAGATCTGGTGCAACCAATTACCTTCAGAAGTCACATAATTAGTTAAATAAAGTCCACCTGTGTGCAATCTAAGTGTCACATGATCTGTCACATGATCTCGGTATATATATACACCTTTTCTGAAAGGCCCCAGTCTGCAACACAACTAAGCAAGGGGAACCACCAAGCAAGCGGCACCATGAAGACCAAGGAGCTCTCCAAACAGGTCAGGGACAAAGTTGTGGAGAAGTACAGATCAGGGTTGGGTTATAAAAAAATATCAGAAACTTTGAACATCCCACGGAGCACCATTAAATCCATTATAAAAAAATTGAAAGAATATGGCACCACAACAAACCTGCCAAGAGAGGGCCGCCCACCAAAACTCACGGACCAGGCAAGGAGGGCATTAATCAGAGAGGCAACAAAGAGACCAAAGATAACCCTGAAGGAGCTGCAAAGCTCCACAGCGGAGATTGGAGTATCTGTCCATAGGACCACTTTAAGCCTTACACTCCACAGAGCTGGGCTTTACGGAAGAGTGGCCAGAAAAAAGCCATTGCTTAAAGAAAAAAATAAGCAAACAAGTTTGGTGTTTGCCAAAAGTCATGTAGGAGACTCCCCAAACATATGGAAGAAGGTACTCTGGTCAGATGAGACTAAAATTGACCTTTTTGGCCATGAAGGAAAACGATATGTCTGGCACAAACCCAACACCTCTCATCACCCCGAGAACCCCATCCCCACAGTGAAGCATGGTGGTGGCAGCATCATGCTGTAGGGATGTTTTTCCATCGGCAGGGACTGGGAAACTGGTCAGAATTGAAGGAATGATGGATGGCGCTAAATACAGGGAAACCTGTTTCAGTCTTCCAGAGATTTGAGACTTGGACAGAGGTTCACCTTCCAGCAGGACAATGACCCTAAGCATACTGCTAAAGCAACACTTGAGTGGTTTAAGGGGAAACATTTACATTTTAGTCATTTAGCAGACGCTCTTATCCAGAGCGACTTACAGGAGCAATTAGGGTTAAGTGCCTTGCTCAAGGACAGATTTTTTCACCTAGTCGGCTTGGGGATTAGAACCAGCGACCTTTCGGTTACTGGCACAACGCTCTTAACCACTAAGCTACCTGCCGCCCCCATTTAAATGTCTTGGAATGGCCTAGTCAAAGCCCAGACCTCAATCCAGACCTCAATCCAATTGAGAATCTATGGTATGACTTAAAGATTGCTGTACACCAGCGCAACCCATCCAATTTGAAGGAGCTGGAGCAGTTTTGCCTCTAAGAATGGTCAAAAATCCCAATGGCTAGATGTGCCAACTTATAGAGACATACCCCAGGAGACTTGCAGCTGTAATTGCTGCAAAAGTTGGCTCTACAAAGTATTGACTTTGGGGGTGGGGGGGTCAATACTTACACATGCTCAAGTTCTGTTTTTTTGTCTTATATCTTGTTTCACAATAAAAAATATTTTGCATCTTCAAAGTGGTAGGCATGTTGTGTAAATCAAATGATACAAACCCCCCAAAAATCAATTTTAATTCCAGGTTGTAAGGCAACAAAATAGGAAAAATGCCAAGGGGGGTGGGTGAATACTTTCGCAAGCCACTGTAGCTCTAGCGTCCCTTAAGGAAGCTGTCCAGTACGCGGTCTCTCCTGTCTGAGAGCCAATATCCAGCCATGGCCGCCACTCCACCCATGAAGATGGAGGTGAAGACCATGTCTCCTTTAGCAGCCAGGGTGGCAAGAGCACAGAGCAGCACCCCAAAGAACATCTGCTGGAGAACCTCCACCTCTTCATCCTGGATGTCCTCAAACAGACCCTTCTCACCCACACCTGGAGGGGGAGAGAGAGAGATAAAGGAGAGGGAGAGAGAGAGAGAGAGAGAGTGAGAGCAAGAGAGAGAGACAGGGAGAGATTATGTGTGTGTGTGTGTGTGAGTGTGTGTGTGGTTACCGTGTGTGTGGTTAGGTCACTTACCTCTGGGTAGCTGTTTTTGCATACAGATGCTGTCCTGGCGTGTGAAGCCTTCAGCACAGTCACAGCGGAAAGAGCCGTCCACATTGGTACAGATCTCATCCAGCCCTGGACATGCCATAACCCGCTCACTGCACTCATCTATATCTGAGAGAGATGCAGAGAAAGAGAGACAGAAGTAAACCTACTGCAATCATTCCTTTTTCAGAGAGAGAGAGAGGTAAACCTACTGCAATCATTCCTTTTAAAGAGAGAGAGAGAGAGAGAGAGAGGTAAACCTACTGCAATCATTCCTTTTAAAGAGAGAGAGAGGTAAACCTACTGCAATCATTCCTTTTAAAGAGAGAGAGAGGTAAACCTACTGCAATCATTCCTTTTAAAGAGAGAGAGAGAGAGAGAGGTAACCCTACTGCATTCATTACTTTTTGAGAGAAAGAGAGAGAAAGATAGAGGTAAACCTACTGCATTCATACTTATTTAAGAGAGAGAGAGAGAGAAAGAGAACGGTAAACCTACTGCATTCATTCTTATTTGAGAGCGAGAGAGACATACAGACAGACACACAAACACACACACACAATATACCTACACATTCTCCCACAAACACTACACCACTAACCTAAACACTTGGCTCCAGTTAGTCTGTAGCCAGTAGCACACTTCCTGCAGCGAGCTGGCCCAGCGCCCATACAGCCCACACAGGCGTCATCACAGCCTGGGGGAAGACCACAAAACATCTTCATCAATACATAACACTCACATCCACAGCTCTCACTAATGGTGGAGAGGAGGTTCTGCTTCAGATATCGAAATGAATGAAACTGGAGAAAGAGCAAAGAATCTACTTAAGACACCTCTAATCTATGCAATGTACAGTTATACCTGAAGCTCTTAAAAATCATAAAGTGTATCAACTTCTGATTGGCTGTTGAAGAGGAGGAAGTGAGCTCCTGACCTCTGGTAGCAGAACTGACCTCTGCACTGATAGTTGCCCTCTGTGTTGAAGCAGTAGGTGTTGGGAGGACACTGACCCAGCTCTGTGCCACACTCGTCTATGTCTGGAACAAAACAAAATAGGTATTATTGGAACAGAACAGAACAGGTATTATAGGAAGTGAACTGAACAGGTATTATAGGAGCAGAACAGAACAGGTATTATAGGAGCAGAACAGAACAGGTATTACAGGAACAGAACAGGTATTATAGGAGCAGAACAGAACAGGTATTACAGGAACAGAACAGGTATTATAGAAACAGAACAGAGCAGGTATAATAGGAACAGAACAGAGCAGGTATAAGAGGAACAGAACAGAGCAGGTATTATAGGAATATAACACAACAGAACAGGTATTATAGGAACAGAACAGGTATTATAGGAACAGAACAGAGCATGTATTTTAGGAACAGAACAGGTATTATAGGAACAGAACAGGTATTATAGGAACAGAACAGTTATTATAGGAACAGAACAGAGCAGGTATTATAGGAATATAACACAACATAACAGGTATTATAGGAACAGAACAGGTATTATAGGAACAGAACAGAGCATGTATTTTAGGAACAGAACAGGTATTACAGGAACAGAACAGGTATTATAGGAACAGAACAGAGCAGGAATAATAGGAACAGAACAGAGCAAGTATAAGAGGAACAGAACAGAGCAGGTATTATAGGAATATAACACAACAGAACAGGTATTATAGGAACAGAACAGGTATTATAGGAACAGAGCATGTATTTTAGGAACAGAACAGGTATTATAGGAACAGAACAGGTATTATAGGAACAGAACAGTTATTATAGGAACAGAACAGAGCAGGTATTATAGGAATATAACACAACATAACAGGTATTATAGGAACAGAACAGGTATTATAGGAACAGAACAGAGCATGTATTTTAGGAACAGAACAGGTATATAGGAACAGAACAGGTATTATAGGAACAGAACAGTTATTATAGGAACAGAACAGAGCAGGTATAATAGGAACAGAACAGAGCAAGTATAATAAGAACAAAACAGAGCAGGTATTATAGGAACAGAACAGAGCAGATATTATAGGAACAAAACACAGCAGGTATTATAGGAACAGAACAAAACAGGTATTATAGGAACAGAACATAGCAGGTATTATAGGAACAGAACAGAGCAGGTATTATAGGAACAGCACACAACAGAGCAGGTTTTATAGGAACAGAACAGAACAGGTATTATAGGAATAGAACACAACAGAACAGGTATTATAGGAACAGAACAGAAATTATAGGAACAGAACACAACAGAGCAGGTATTATAGGAACAGAACAGAACAGGTATTATAGGAACAGAACAGAACAGGTATTATAGGAACAGAACAGGTATTATAGGAACATAATAGGTATTATACGAACAGAACAGGTATGATAAAGTGCAGTACAGTATGATGATAAACTAAAGTATTACACATTATAAACACATACACCAAAATTGACATTGACATTAGTAATCCAGAGTGACATACAGTAGTGAGTGGATATGTTACAAGCGCCATGCTTTACCAACTGAGCCACACAGGATTTAGAGGAAGATGTTAAATGTTGATACAACTCTTCTTTCATCTGCGACACACTCACATACACACATGCACACACACACACACGCGCACACACACACACACACTGTCCCACTCACCTACACATGTGTTGACATGGAGGGTCCAGCCTGTTCTGCACTCCAGACACAGGTCATTCTGAGGACCTGAGCATTCCTTACAGGAGTCTAGACAGCCTCGGACCAGAACCATCTGGGACAGCACTGAGTACAGCCCTGCAGCCAGGAGAGGCCAGCCAATCCTCATCACTCACTCCCTCCCTACCTACCAGCCACTGAGACAGTATGGGAGAGGTGGAATCACTATGTTCTATAGTGGGGACTAGGGTACACAGACAGGAAAGCACACAGTTCAGGATTAGGTTGAACACTTACTTAAATCAATGAGCTAATTAAAGGGGGATCTTCTACGATTGCTACATCCATTTTTAGACCTTTAAATTATTTATACATCGGCCTGCCCATTGATTCTTGAAGAATATAGCTTATAAATGACTCATGGGCTTAGTTCAACTGTCACACCCCATCAGAACCCCAAATATATGCTTGTTTTACTCCATTGTTTCTAAACAATGTAATTGTAAACGAACATGGTATAGCCTCAAAACATGGTTAAAACTATCATTTTGATGCCATAGATGGTCGGTCCTTGCATCCATAGCTCTGTCTATGAATTCCAAGATGGCGTAGCATCTTGGAATTGGTGAAGACGCTAACGGTGACTAATAACAGGTAGCCATTCAGTTGCAGCTACACTATTTTCAGCTTACGGTTCTTGATGAAAGTTATAAAGAAATAGTAGAATCCTTTCCACGTTGGGTGAGGCGGGTTGCAGGAAAGTATATTTAGTTAAAGAATGAAAAGTAAAAATTGAGAAATATATACAAAATAGACAAAAAAAACAAGAAACGGGATATTTACACAGGGACAATGAATAAAAGCGACCGCACTGCTACGCCATCTTGGAACCTACACTATCCACCAGCCAGCTCTAGCTCTAGCCTGGACAATTCGTCGGCCAGTCTGCACAGCGTGCTATCGACCCAGCGTGCTATCGACCCAGAACTTATTGGACTTTCTGCCGGAATCACTGGACCCTAGCGCCGGATCATCGCAACCAGCTAGCTAGCTGCAACCTGTTGTTGGCTGATTACCATTGCCCTATAGCAAGCACCAGTTAGCCTTGAGCTAGCCTCAGGCCCATCTCCCGGCTATCTACCTCTCTGTCAACCGGACGGGACCTCCTAGTGTTGACACTGAGCCGACTGGTCTGCCGACGAAATATTCTGATGTGGTTTCAACAGGCTTCCCGTGCCAGCCCCGGCCCGCTAGCACACGCAAACTACAACTGTGCTCCCTGCTAGCTGTGCTGAAGCACCAATTTGAACTGCTCTCGGACTCACATATTGCTGTTCACTGGACCTTATGATCACTCAGCTGCACAGCTGATGCCTGCTGGACTGTTCCTTTACACGGTACCCTGTCCTGTTTATTCTGTTTATTCTGTTTAGCCTTAGCCCAAACGTTATCGCTATTTCCAGTTGTTGTCTTAGCTCTCTCTAATAACACCTGTGACTGCTTTATGCCTCTCTCCCATGTCAATTATGCCTTGCCTATTGCTGTTTGGGTTAGTTCTTATTATACAATTTCACTGTAGAACCCCTAGTCCCTCTCAAACTGCCTCAAATAGTTCCTTTGTTCCACCCCCCATACACGCCGAGACCGGCTCAATCGGTGCCTCCAGTGACGCTATCTCTTTCATTGTTACCCAACGCTTAGGGTTACCTGAACTGTACTCATATCCTTCCATATCCTTTTCTGTACATAATGCCCTGAATCTTTCCTACAACGCCCGGAGAACTGCCCCCTTTATTCTATGTACCCAACGCACTAGAAGACCAGTTCTTAAAGCCTTTAGTCGTATCCTTATTCTAGTCCTCCTCTGTTCCTCTGGTGATGTAGAGGCTAACCCAGGCCCTGCAGCCCCCAGTATCACTCCTACTCCCCAGGAGCTATCATTTGTTGACTTCTGTAACCGTAAAAGTCTTGGTTTTCTGCACATAAATATCAGAAGCCTCCTTCCTAAGTTTGAGTTATTCACTGCGTTAGCACACTCCGCCAACCCTGATGTTCTAGCAGTGTCTGAATCCTGGCTTAGGAAGGCCACCAAAAATTCTGAAATTTCCATCCCCAACTATAACATTTTCCGTCTAGATAGAACTGCCAAAGGGGGTGGAGTTGCAATCTACTGTAGAGATAGCCTGCAGAGCTCTATCATACTATCCAGGTCTGTGCCCAAACAGTTTGAGCTTCTACTTCTAAAAATCCACCTTTCCAGAAATAAATCTCTCACTGTTGCCGCTTGCTACAGACCCCCCTCAGCCCCCAGCTGTGCCCTGGACACCATGTGAATTGATTGCCCCCCATCTATCCTCAGAGTTCGTACTGCTTGGTGACCTAAATTGGGATATGCTTAACACCCCGGCCATCCTACAATCTAAACTAGATGCCCTCAATCTCACACAAATTATCAACGAACCTACCAGGTACAACCCTAAATCCGTAAACATGGGTACCCACATAGATATCATCCTGACTAACTTACCCTCTAAATACACCTCCGCTGTCTTCAACCAGGATCTCAGCGATCACTGCCTTATTGCCTGCGTCCGTAACGGGTCCGCGGTCAAACGACCACCCCTCATCACTGTCAAACGCTCCCAAAAACACTTCAGCGAGCAGGCCTTCCTAATTGACCTGGCCCAGGTATCCTGGATGGATATAGATCTCATTCCGTCAGTAGAGGATGCCTGGTTGTTCTTTAAAAGTAATTTCCTCTCAATCTTAAATAAACATGCCCCATTCAAAAAATACAGAACTAAGAACAGATATAGCCCCTGGTTCTCCTCAGACTTGACTGCCCTTGACCAGCACAAAAACATCCTGTGGCGTACTGCATTAGCATCAAATAGCCCCCGCGATATGCAACTTTTCAGGGAAGTTAGGAACCAATATACACAAGCAGTTAGGAAAGCAAAGGCTAACTTTTTCAAACAGAAATTTGCATCCTGTAGCACTAACTCCAAAAAGTTTTGGGACACTGTAAAGTCCATGGAAAATAAGAGCACTTCCTCCCAGCTGCCCACTGCACTGAGGCTAGGAAACACTATCACCACTGATAAATCTACAATAATCGAGAATTTCAACAAGCATTTTGCTACGGCTGGCCATGCTTTCCACCTGGCTACCACTACCCTGGCCACCAGCTCTGCACCCTCCGCTGCAACTTGCCCATGCCCCCCCCCGCTTCTCCTTCACACAAATCCAGACAGCTGATGTTCTGAAAGAGCTGCAAAATCTGGACCCCTACAAATCATCTGGGCTAGACAATCTGGACCCTTTCTTTCTAAAACTAGCCGCCGAAATTGTCGCAACCCCTATTACTAGCCTGTTCAACCTCTCTTTCGTAACGTCTGAGATCCCCAGAGATTGGAAAGCTGCCGCGGTCATCCCCCTCTTCAAAGGGGGTGACACTCTAGATCCAAACTGTTACAGACCCATATCCATCCTGCCCTGCCTTTCAAAAGTTTTTGAAAGCCAAGTCAACAAACAGATCACCGACCATTTCGAATCCCACCGTACCTTCTCCGCTATGCAATCCGGTTTCCGAGCTGGTCATGGGTGCACTTCAGCCACGCTCAAGGTCCTAAATGATATTATAACCGCGATCGATAATAGACAGTACTGTGCAGCCGTTTTCATTGACCTGGCCAAGGCTTTCGACTCTGTCAACCACCGCATTCTTATTGGCAGACTAAATAGCCTTGGTTTCTCAAATGACTGCCTCGCCTGGTTCACCAACTACTTCTCAGATAGAGTTCTCAGAGTTCAATGTGTCAAATCGGAGGGCCTGTTGTCTGGACATATGGCAGTCTCTATGGGGGTGCCACAGGGTTCAATTCTTGGGCCGACTCTTTTCTCTGTGTATATCAATGACGTCGCTCTTGCTGCTGGTGACTCTCAGATCCACCTCTACGCAGACGACACCATTTTGTATACATCTGGCCCTTCATTGGACACTGTGTTAACAAACCTCCAAACGAGCTTCAATGCCATACAACACTCCTTCAGTAGCCTCCAACTGCTCTTAAACACTAGTAAAACTAAATGCATGCTCTTCAACCGAACGCTGCTTGCACCCGCCCACCCGACTAGAATCACTACTCTCGACGGGTCTGACCTAGAGTATGTGGTCAACTACAAATATCTAGGTGTCTGGTTAGACTGTAAACTCTCCTTCCAGACTCACATTAAGAATCTCCAATCCAAAGTTAAATCTAGAATCGGTTTCCTATTTCGCAACAAAGCCTCCTTCACTCATGCTGCCAAACATGCCCTCGTAAAACTGACTATCCTACCGATCCTTGACTTCGGCGATGTCATTTACAAAATAGCCTCCAACACTCTACTCAGCAAATTGGATGTAGTCTATCACAGTGCCATCCGTTTTGTCTCCAAAGCCCCATATAATACCCACCACTGTGACCTGTACACTCTTGTTGGCTGGTCCTCACTACATATTCGTCGCCAAACCCACTGGCTCCAGGCCATCTATAAATCACTGCTAGGCAAATCCCCGCCTTATCTTAGCTCATTGGTCACCATAGCAACACCCACCCGTAGTCTGCGCTCCAGCAGGTATATCTCACTGGTCATCCCCAAAGCCAACACCTCCTTTGGCCGCAATTCCTTCCAGTTCTCTGCTGCCAATGACTGGAACAAATTGCAAAAATCTCTGAAGCTGGAGACACTTATCTCCCTCACTAACTTTAAGCATCAGTTGTCAGAGCACCTTACCGATCACTGCACCTGTACACAGCCCATCTGAAATTAGCCCGCCCAACTACCTCATCCCTATATTGTTATTTATTTTTGCTCATTTGTACCCCAGTATCTCTATTTGCACATCATCTCTTGCACATCTATCATTCCAGTGTTAATACTAATTGTAATTATTTTGCACTATAGCCTATTTATTGCCTTACCTCCATAACTTGCTACATTTGCACACACTGTATATATATATGTATTTCTGTTGTATTTTTGACTTTGTTTTGTTTTACCCCATATGTAACTCTGTGTTGTTGTTTTTATCGCACTGCTTTGCTTTATCTTGGCCAGGTCGCAGTTGTAAATGAGAACTTGTTCTCAACTGGTTTACCTGGTTAAATAAAGGTGAAATAAAAAAATTAAAATACAATTTGAGAGTAGTTACATTTCTCCAGCCCCATCCCTCAACTATTTACCAAAACAGAGGCTGCGAAACTACTTCGTTATTGCTTGAACAGCAGGTTGCCCATTTAAAAGTGGAGTAATTGTTGTTTTCACATGAATTAAATAAATGTCACTGTAGGTGTTATTTGCAGCCTTTTCAGTAAACCACAAACAACTAAGGGAAATAGTCCATGCAGGTCTGTGCAACTTGAGAACAGTAGTAAGAGATTACATGGGCTATTTTTACAAGAAAATAACCTTTGAAAAAGTTCACACAATATATTTATTTTAGCTATTTACCTGTAAGCGCTTCAACGCTGAGCGTGAAGAGCAAATTGTCGGGAAACTAACAGTTTCGTCCGAGGCACTCGTCAAAGAATTGAGTGAACTTCGATGCTCTCTTTGGGACGCCTTTTTGCTCCGTTGAGATCAGCTGCCGTCGTTCTTGTTGATCTCGTTTTCTCTCAAATAGCCCTTGACCAATCACAGTCTCTTGAGGGGCGAAAGGGTCCGGGACTACTGTACATGTTGGCCAACCAGAGCACCACCACACAGATAATCAATGTTATTTATAACTGCAAAAGTGTGAGAGGGGGGCTGCATTCCTGTCTGTCGCGCGACCACTCTCGCGGCTATTTCCCACAGATATTTGTGGTCTTTTTACAAATGTTTTTGAAAACGCAAAGTACTATTTTCCTCCTGGTGACAATATCAATTGTGAGGAGAAATTCTTTTTTATATCAAAGTACATTTATTTGTCATCTTTCACATAGAAAAAAATTATACATTATACAGTCCATGATAGGTATTGACCAAAAATAATTTAGGTCATTTACATAGGCTTACCACATTTTATTTCTACACTAATGCATGCGTGGTCTTCTGTAGCTCAATTGGTAGAACATGGCGCTTGTAACGCCAGGGTAGTGGGTTCGATCCCCGGGACCACCCATACGTAAAAATGTATGCACACATGACTGTAAGTCGCTTTGGATAAAAGTGTCTGCTAAATGGCATATTATTATTATTATTATAAACAGATAAGGAGAATATAATTAAGCAATAAGGCCCAAGGAGGTGTGGTATATGGCCAATATACCACGGCTAAGGGTTGTACTTAGGCAAGACGCAATGCAGAGTATATTGGCCATATACCACAAACTCTCGAGGTGCCTTATTGCTATTATAAACTGGTTACCAACTTAATTAGAGTGGTAAAAATACATATTTTGTCATACCCATGGTATACGGTCTGATATACCATAGCTGTCAGCCAATCAGAATTCAGGGCTCAAACCACCCAGTTTATAGTAAAATATATATTTATTGTCCATTGGTTAGAACGGCAATTTGTCTTCTGCCTTTCCCAACACCCCCAAGACACACACACACTATGAGAGGCACAGGGTGAGCAGCAAATGTTGGGGGTATAGTGCCTTGCTCAAGGGCACAATGACAGGAGATGGTACATGGGAGCAGCAGCTTTCCAGCTGCCAGTTCAGTTCCATTTTTGTGTTCACGGCTTAAACCGTGAACCTTCCAGCTGCTGGTCCGCCTCTCTAATCTCTAGGCTACTGCATATCATTCAGGTTTGTCCTATCTTGAATTTTGATCCAGCAAATATTCCAATATGACTTTCAGACATCTCTATCTACAAATCATTGAATTAAGAGTAAGATAAAGAACATAATAGTTCACACATAGAAGTCTACCCTGAAGGTGTAGGCCTACTGTAGGTTACAGACTGTGTATTGGCTCAATAATAGCCCTCATAACATCACCAAATACAATCCAAGGCTTCTGCATTCAACCCGTTGCACGTCCAGTGTATTCAGTGTGAATGTAAAGTCTGGGGTTGTTGGGGTGATGATGGGGGCCGGTATTGTCTGAGTGGTTGGGGAGATTAAATGTCAGGGTGACTGCTCTGCTGTAACGGCACAGTCTCCACTCCAGTGACAACACACTTATGAGGCAGCTCCTTAATCAGGTACCCCCCTGAGTCTCTCCTCAAACCCCTGAGTCCCCCAGACAGTCTCTGTGTAGCCTCCTTCAGCCCCTATGTCCACCTATACCAGCCCCAGGCCCTGTGGGCCCCATGGCCAGCTCAGCAAGGAGCCCCTGGCTCTGGGAGGGCAGGTGGAACATGGGCAGCTCTTGGAACAGCTCTGGGAGACCTCTCTCACTGCTGGGGGGCTTGGCAGAATGGGCCTCAAAGTGGACCAGGAGGAAGCGTTCTCTAGCACAACCTAGTTTGTGGTCCGCCTTGATGCAGCTCAGAGCGGCACTGAACACGTCTGCATACGGGGAGGACAAGCCCTGGAGAAGCCCCTTATTCTCCCCCTCCCCCTCCACCTCCTCACCCCCCTCCTCCTTCTCCACTCCCTGGACTATGTCCTTTCCCTGTTGGCCCTGCTGGTCCCACTGTCGAACCCAGTCCTCTGTCCTCTCCCAGGCTGCCTGTGTCAGTACCAGTATTGCCCGGCCCCCTTGGCTATCCAGGGGCTGCAGCTGGGAGTGCAGCCAGGGCAGGGGCCCCAGAGAGCACAGCTCAGCCCGACTCCACAGGTCCACAGAGACACTGAGGCCCTGGGAACACAGAGAGGAACCGAGCTCACACACCAGCTCTGACACAGAGCCATCCACGTCCGGCGGGCTCAGCAGCACTATGTGTCCCCTGTTGGCTACTACAGAGGGGGGGAGATAAGGAAGGAGGGAGGGAAGGGAGGGAGGGAGGGAAGGAAGGAAGGAAGGAAGGAAGGAAGGAAGGAAGGAAGGAAGGAAGGAAGGAAGGAAGGAAGGAAGGAAGGAAGGAAGGAAGGAAGGAAGGAGGGAGGGAAGAGGGGAGGAAGGAAGGAAGGAAGGAAGGAAGGAGGGGAGGGGAAGGGAGGGAGGGGAGGGAGGGAAGGGAGGAAGGAAGGAGGGGAAGGAGAGAAGGGAAGGAAAGGAGGGAAAGAGGAGGAAGGGAGGGAGGGAGGGAGGGAGGGAAGGAAGGAGTGAGGGGCGGAAGGAAGGAAGGAAGGAAGGAAGGAAGGAAGAAGGAAGGAAGGAAGGAAGGAAGGAGGGAGGGAGGGAGGGAGGAAGGAAGGAAGGAAGGAAGGAAGGAAGGAAGGAAGGAAGGAAGGAAGGAAGGAAGGAAGGAAGGAAGGAAGGAAGGAGGGAGGGAGGGAGGGAGGGAGGGAGGGAGGGAGGGAGGGAGGGAGGGAGGGAGGGAGGGAGGGAGGGAGGGGAGGGACAGAAATAAGAAATGAAGGAGGGAATGAGGGAGGGAGGCAAAGGGCAGGGGGATTTAGTGACATTAATTTTCCATTGTTTTTCAATGATTATTGCTAGATGAATATGTATCTTCTTTATTTTCATATTGTACATTTGGAGTATGAGAAACCTGCTTACTTCGACCACACTCCTTCTGGTGCCATTCCCATGCCCACCCTGTTGGAGAGACAGAAATGTGATGTGAAACACACTGATATGGTTCTGTAACACAGAGTCTCCTGTGTCATTTCATGAGTTTTTGGTCCTTTACAAAAAGCCTTGGGCCATTGTCCACCCCCCAAATTCCTAACTGTAGTAAACACCCACAAGTCAGTCAGAGAGACACATGAATAGAGCTATTGAGAGGAGTGTGAATCTGGGACACTGAGGAATACACGTAGTATAGGAAATATATTAATTCTTCAAAAATGTGTTTTGTTGTATTTTACCTCTTTCTCCCCAATTTCGATCTTGTCTCATCACTGCAACTCCCCAACCGGAGGAAAAGGTCAAGTCACGTGTCCTCCGAAACATGACCGCCTAACCGCGCTTCTTAACACCCACCCACTTAACCCGGAAGACAGCCGCACCAAGTAAAGCCCCCCCGGCCAAACCCTCCCCTAACCCAGACAACACTGGGCCAATTGTGCACCACCTCATGGGACTCCCCACAGCCGGTTGTGATACAGCCCGGTATCAAACGCAGGTCTGTAGTGACGCCTCTATGCAGTGCAAGCCCTCTTTCTCTACATTTTGATCTCATTTAAAACTCCTCCTCTCTCTCTCTATTAAGAATTATTTAGTGGGAGGCAGAGAGTACATCCGTGGTGAGAAGAGCCTAGCACTCACTTCACCACAGTGTAACACAACACAAACCTAACACAAGTTTAACACTTTTGGACTCTTTTTGTCTCTACACACAGTGCCTTTGCATGTGTGTAGTCGGGGAGAAGGACCAGAGTGACTCACGTTTCAGTTTTCCATGCAGGAAATATAGACAAATTGCTGCTAGGACAGCCAGCATAAGGGAGACCAGGACCAACAGACTCCAGCGCCAGTGCCACCAACTGGCTGAGAGGGAGAAGTACATATATGATTATTTTCCAATCCTCCTAGAATTTCTTACTAGCTTCCCTACTGTGAACGTTTGTTTTACTGAGCATGCAAATACATACTTTATTGATAAATCAGATTTGAACATAACAGCCATCTTTTAACACACCAAAAATCTGAGAAGTGGTCAGGAAATGGTACTTGTATTAATTTTAGTAGGATCCATATCAACTTTGATAACAGGGTGATTCTACGGAAATGGTGGATCTTGAAGAGCCAACATAAAAAATAAAAACAACTTTGTTTTTAACCAAAAAATTACAGTCAGATAATAGTTAACCGTTTACCATTATAAATCAACATAAAAGCCAGCTTAATCTATTTTTAGAAAGTGCAGTCTTTTTGTGACTTTATTTTAGATGACAATTCAGGCTTTCCTGAATGTAATTTCACAAAGCAATTTGCATATATAATCAAAGACAGAGAAGGTTAATGCTAATATGAAGATTTTTCAAAAAACGAGTAATAATTTACTATAAAATGGGATGTGTAAAGTTCTATTGTGCAAAAAAATAATTATACCACGTCTTTTGTGTTGTAACATCAGAAATGATTGAGGTTGAGTCATCAGAATTGGTTTATCATATTCTTAAAATGCTTACTAATGAATGCAGCAGCAGTTGGGTAGATACAAATAAACATATTCTATAAAGATGGGCAACTCGGATGCCAAAACACCAATATGCCATGCAGTAACACCAGTGACGCGACATAACATCAGTGAAACAATGTGAAACCAATGACATAACATATGATTATTTCATACAAATTTGATCAATTTAGTAATATTTTTTTACAAATCATTTTGTAACATGTGTTGATTTCATATGAACAATAAAATGAAGGTTATTGGTCAAAGATTAAGACCAAAAGCCTATTGACTAAAATGTCTTTCCTAACACAACATTGTCGTACAAGCATAAAACTTGTCTATTAGAACTATAGAAACACAAGAACAATAGAAACACAACATTGAATGTAAACTAAGACTAACGTTTCCCAAAAGCACTGATATAAACATATTGTATGCAGTAAAACATGTTCATGGAGTAGGCCTATTTCCTGTTCTCATTATTTCCCATACTAACTTCACTTTTACTTGAGATGTGTTTGTCTTCAGAAAAGTTTGTCCATATGTTTCTCTTTGTCATGTTATCGTGTCACGTCCATCTGTTATCATCTCCGAGCCAGTCTCCATTGATTTCTAGCCACTGACGGCTTCTTCTCTTGTGGCCAGTTCACATCTGCCACTTTCACACGTTCAGGTGCTCCTCCAAGTACTTCCAGATACTGTGGTCAATCTGAGCTGATCTTTTGTTCACTGGCAGCGGCTTTGGCATCAGACACACAATCTGGTCATCCCCATACCAGTTGATATCATTTTACATTTACATTTTAATCATTTAGCAGACGCTCTTATCCAGAGCGACTTACAGTTAAGTGAGTGCATATATTATTTTTTAAATTTTTCATACTGGCCCCCCGTGGGAATCAAACCCACAACCCTGGCGTTGCAAACGCTCATGCTCTACCAACTGAGCTACATCCCTGCCGGCCATTCCCTCCCCTACCCTGGACAACGCTGGGCCAATTGTGCGCCGCCCCATGGGTCTCCCGGTCGGCTACGACAGAGCCTGGATTCGAACCAGGATCTCTAGTGGCACAGCTAGCACTGCGATGCAGTGCCTTAGACCACTGCACCACTCGGGATATCATCTCTTGGGCTTGGCCAGAAGAACTTGTTGACTCCATTCCTGTGCATGCGCTTAACTTTAACGTTGTGTTCTTCGACCTCCAGTATAACGCCAGGGTATGGTTGTTCATCGTAGTTCACAATGCACCACTATCCAGTGTGGTGAGCCTTGATGACATCTAGACGAAGTGGAGTTGAGGTATCTGGGTCGATGACATCTGTTTGATGTGGAGGTGAGTGCCAGAGTCCCTTACCTTCTGATAGAAAGGCATCCGTTATGTCTTTCCTGTGGTGGACCAAGAGGTCAGCTGACCTCTTTAGTGAACCCCCCACTCGATCCGGAGCACCCTTTCCTTCACTGGCCTCAAAAAAGTCCCACGTACTCCCCTGGAAGCCCTTCTTGAAAGGTTCAGTGCCAAACATATAGAAGTTGCCCTTCTGTTTATATTGGGTGGCAGGGCCATCACTGAAGAAGTGAAAGCTTTGCACGGTAGGGTACTGCTGCTTTATCATGTCCAGGACGGGGTCCAGGTGAGCCCATATGGCTGCTGGGTCATGACTTCTGCTGGGTGAGATGGTGCAGAAGGAGATAGGGGCCTCCTCTGCCACATAGAAGACACCAGTGTGGATCGTCGCCTGCTTGTGTGAACCCCCGAAGTGAACTGACTGGTTCTCTGAAGCATGCTTGTATGTGAAGTTTTCACTAAAATCTATATGGATCAGGCAGTCATTGGTCAGGTTCTCTCTCAAGGTCCGGTAGCTGTGGTACTGCCATTGGATGTTGAACAGATGTCTCCTAAATTTAAAGAGCCTATCCTGGAACTGGGTCACCAGCTCTTCCTCGGTTATGGCTATATCCTTCTTCACAGTGATGAAGCTACTTTTCTCTTATTCTTCATTTGCTCTGTTGTGCTCTATCTTCTCCAGACACCACTGGGTGAGCGACACCTCTTCGTTGGATTGCTGTCTAGCAGTTAGTGCAGTGGAGTGTTCACATTCTTGGCATTCGCCATAGGCGCATGCCTTTGAATTGTTACAAACTGTGCTATCTGCAATCTCCTCCAGGTTGCTGGACTGTGAGTTCTCAACAGTCTTGCACTGGCAAGTTTCTCGGTCGCTCTCCTGTGGTGTCAACCCCAAAAAGGGTCTCTCCCTGCAGAAGAAGGGATCAACACTGTCTCTCCTGCTCTCAACATCTCTCTGTTTTTCTGTCTGACCCGACATTGCTTTCGCTACTTTTTCCTCTTTCTGTGAGATTATTCACTCTCTTTCTTTTTTGACTCTCTAAATCCTTTAAATAAGTAAGTCGGTTTTTTTTCAAGGTAAGCTGCTCTGCTGTCTGGGTCAGCATCCCTGCGCTGTCGTAGTCTTTGCTTTTCAGCAGCACTTACTTTTTAATTTGCCATATTTATCAAAAGGAAAGACATTATGTTACAAATTACAATATTGAAACAGTATAAAACCTTACATTGATATAAAAAGTTAGCAGTGTTATTGATTGTGACTGGTGTTACTGTCATGTCACTGGTGTTACCAGCAGGAACAGGAACACCAGTGACGTAACACCAGTGACGAATCTGCTGACAAGATGGCATATCTAAAATGGGGGCCACAGTAGCTCAAACCACACTTCTTAAATTGTAAATAAATCACTTAAAAATGTGATTGGATCAATTATTTCAATCATATTTCCTGTCCCCATACTATAAACTGCATAACACCAGTGAAGCCTTTTAAAGCTTCGCATTAAATTACCAAATGAATCATCAAATTGCTAACATATGAAGAGAGAGTGCAGAATCACCATGTGCTCTTTAAAACAGCCCCACCTGCAATTAACCTTTGACCCAGGAAGAAGTTGGCAGGATGTTGAATTTTTTCAAAGTGTTTTGAAAAAGGGTAACACCAGTGACATGAAATTGAGGGACAGCTATTCCCTGTAAAGTAATTATAATATTTAGTTGATATTTTAGCTTTTTAATTAATTCCCTAAAGAGCTATAATACTTTACTTTGTATTATGGCATTTAAAGTTGGAGAACAAAATATATTTTGACTCAAAATATGTCACTAGACCATGACTCCTGACTCGAAGGACAAGCCATTTTCATGGTGCTGACCGTGTTCTACGATAATATGAAAAATATAATTTGCAATATAACTGTCTTACATATGTTTATTAACAATAAAACATTTCAATTAAAACAAAAACATATATTTTGTGTCATTATCTTATTTGTTTTGGTGTTTTTCCCTGGTGGTTAAGGCAGGGGACAGGAAAGCCACCATTTTCATAGAATTTAGTCATTTAGCAGACGCTCTTCTCCAGATCGACTTACAGTTAGTGAGTGCATACATGTTTTTTTTGTTTTTTTTCATACTGGCCCGCCGTGGGAAACGAACCCACAACCCTGGCGTTGCAAACGCCATGCTCTACCAACTGAGCTACACGGGACTATCACCCAACAATGATACTTCAGCCCTCTCCTAAAATACTCACAGTCAATGGGACAGAAGGGGCCAAGCTCACTGTGCTTCCCTTTAACCTTCACCTGGAGGGACAGAGACCCCCCCCCCCCCCCCCCACACACACACACACACACACACACACACACACACACACACACACACACACACACACACACACACACACACACACACACGACACAAACAAACACAAACACACACACACACATTTACCATAAGATGAGCTCTCATCATGATACGACAGGATCCCAGTTTAATACTGGGGAACAACGAGAGTGAACCAGTAGAAGTGTCTTACCATCACACAGAGATCAAGGCCAGGTTTGACATCCACAAACACACCGGGCATCAGCTGAAACATAAACATAAAACAAATATATCTATCATTCAATCAAAATATGTCTTATTCATATCTCACCAGACCATAAAAAAGCCACAAGTAAAAAACTAAACAAACAATTGCTACAAATGATGAGAGTATATCCCAATGACAAAAAGGTCACTAAAGATGCATCAATAAAAAGGGGACAAAATGATCAAAAGCATCCATCAAATGCTTCGATATACGTACCCAGTGTCCCCTGTCGTTTTCCCTCCATATGTCATCTGACAGACGCTGCCTAAAGGCAACCAGCTCTGTGCACCTGTCCTTGTCCAAGCCTGCATCTTTCTGGCAGTGCCACACTTCAGCCTCCATCCTACAGGGGGCAGTCAGGTTCCAGGATAACATGGCACCACCACTGTTCATTTGGCCCTGCACCACAGATACTGACACATTCTCCCATACGTTCCTCTGCAACAGCTCTGGAAGAGAGAGATACAGGTATAAGATACTGTACTTTATAGTGGAGTTACAGATGCAATGGGAATCAACATCATGGCCCACATTCATTACTGTCATAGTGTAACACAGGTGTAGCAAGAAGGATGCTACATGGTTCTTCTCTTACCGGTGTGGTTTCTAAAGGGACAGCTCATAGATCGACGAGACCTCTCGTCTCCTGTATCCCACCACACCTGAAATACACACACACCAATTAACACACACCGATTAACACACACCTGAAACACACACACCGATTAGCACACACTGATTAACACACACCTGAAACACACACACACCGATTAACACACACCTGAAACACACACCCCGATTAGCACACACTGATTAACACACACACACCGATTATTAAAACACACAAAAAACAGAGAATTCAAGTGAGCAACACAAAATGTATAACCTTGTCACTGAGTTGGATGTGTCTAGTAGCAGCACTACTGACAAAAGTACTGTAGGCCTAATCCAGGTTGGTAATGAAAAAGGGGAAATAAGATCAGTACCTGGAAGCACATGCAGGGGGTGACAGAGTGCAGTGGAACCGTCCTCTCCTTACAGGGCTGTAGGACAACAAACAACATGTTATCATTGAAGAGGGAAGGGTGAAAGTCTGAGAAAATCATTGCCTATTAACTGAGTTAAAAAGAAAGCCAAGTACAACACGGACCCTGCACACTCCGTTATCTTCATGTTGTATGCACATTTCCAGTGGGTAGGGGCTGTCCTCTTCCTTGTCGACTCGCAGCCTCACCTCACGCCTCTCCTGATCAATCAGAGCGCTGAAACTGGGGACTGACAGACACACCAGCCAATTAGAGAACAGAAAAATGTTTCTCTCTCTTCAAATAAACCAGAATCATTATGGAAAAACAGAACAAATGCCACGGATAAAATATGTATTGGTTTGGATAGTCCCCTACAGATGGTTTATATATGCTCAACTGACTAGCAGCAAACTGTTCAACTACTTTAATTATCCACTAGCCGTAAGTCGCTCTGGATAAGAGCATCTGCTAAATGTAAAAATGTAATGTAATGTCTTAACACTAACCCTAACTCTAACACTAACCTTTAACCCTAATCCTAACTCTAACTCTAACCCTTAACCCTAATCCTTGGCCTAGCCCTAGGCAAGATGTTGCATGTCAACAGGGAGGCAATCGATAATCGAATTAGCATAAAAAAATCCCTATAACAACCTGTCAGTTTAAGCTAGACATGTCTGTTTTTGCACCGCATCCGACCATGTCGCACTTCCGCATCTGCGATGAAAGGTGACAGAGCGGTGTTTGTCAGACCATGAGACATCCCGAAAATTGGTCTTAACTATTATGACCCCTCTATGGAAAGATGAGACTCTCACGAACACGATGGTGTTCCCCGTTTTGCTCTACAACCCCGACAAGCGTCTGAAGGGAACTCGTCTGAAGTCGGTACAGCCAATCTGCCAACTTCTGTCTGTAGTGTCCGAACAGTTTGGTCTACACACTAATATGATCCCTCTGTATAAAGGTGAGACTCTCATGAACACGTACATGTCAGTGTTGCTCTAGGAGGCCCACTGACTTCACAAGACTCGTCTGAAGGTCCGCCAGTAACCAGAAATATTGGCACCCTTGCACTTTTTAAAATAATGCACCTCAGTCGAAGGTCATGGGCCTTCCAGCAGGACAATGACCCCAAACACACTTCAAAAAGCACCCAGGAATGGTTCAAGACAAAACGCTGGACTGTTCTGATGTGGCTAGCAATGAGTCCAGATCTAAATCCCATTGAAAACTTGTGGAGAGATCTGAAAACAGCAGTTGGGAGAAAGCACCCTTCAAAAATCTGGGAGAACTGGAGCAGTTTGCACAAGAGGAGTGGGCCAAACTGCTAGTACAGAGGTGCAGGAAGCTCATCGATGGCTATAGGAAGCGCTTGATTGCAGTTCTTTTGACCAAAGGCTGTGCTACCAAATATTAAGTCTAGGGTGTCAATAATTTTGTCAATGCCATTTCTGTTTATTTTCTGATTTAAATGGATATATTATGTTCTGAATAAAAAACTAATGGTCTGTAATATTAACAGTGAAATAAATAATTGTGGAGACCAAATACTTTGGTAAATTTCAATGTATTTTTAGGGAAAATTTTGAGTTACTTGAATAAAGTTTAAGGGTGCCAATATTTATGGCCATGACTTATGGTACATCGAGTGTCAAAAATAAGCGGTTAAATACATGTAAAAAAAACAGGGGGACTATCTGTTGTTCCATTTAGTGAATCTGTTATGCAGTATGAAGAAAATGTATGTACTCACTAACTGTAAGTCGCTTTGGATAAGAGCGTCTGCTAAATGACTAAACATGTAAATGTAAAAATTCAATGTGTTTGTATGGGCTAATAGCAGTAAGGCCCAAAATAATTTTTAATCAAATCATTGTGTAATATATATATTTTTTATACTTCAAGGGGTCTTAAAATTCAAAATCAAAGTTAAATGATCCTTGATATGACCTTCTTAAAACAATTCCATATAGCTTAGTAGAACCCCTCCCCTGGCTTAGACAGGCCTTAGATGCTTAAGGGTTAAGCATCTATAGAGGACTATCCATTACAGTAAGACCAATATTACAGTGAGAAACATTAAAGTGAGACCAATATATCTGCACACAGGACTCAGGAGATGTAATAACAATAGAATTAGAATTAGCTGAATATAAATAGAACCAGATTGAATGCTGTACAGGACTTCCTGTTTTTACTTCTTGCTTAACTCCTGTGGATACACTCCTGAATTTGGATACCCATTCTAGTAATTCTATTTATATGGTAATAACAACATGGGAACCATAGAAACAAACAAACATAGAACATAGTGCATGTAACTCACCGTCACACTCTTCTACAACCCCCTGTGCAGCGGATGAGCACACTAAGGGCAGAGAGAACAAATAACTATCAGATTTCAACATTTCAGATGATCAATTACTAACAAATATGTATTGACAGTCAAAGCAATGATATAAGCTGTTTGATCACTATGGGAATTGCAATACCTTCATCCACTGAGGGAAGCACCACTTTAGAGTGATGGGAGCAAACATACACAGTCACCTGACTGTTGAAGGACACAGCATTATCTTTCAGCAGCAGTGACAGCCATACCTGCTGGGTGTAGATGAACATGGACATGAATCACACACACATACACACACACACACACACACACATTTTTGTCATTTAGCAGACGCTCTTATCCAGAGCGACTTACAGTTAGTGAGTGCATACATTTTTCATACTGGCCCCCCGTGGGAATCGAACCCACAACCCTGACGTTGCAAGCGCCATGCTCTACCAACTGAGCATGGAAGCACGCACATACACATGCACGCACACGCACACACACATTCAGATGCACACATGTACATTTAGATGGAATATACCTCGGATGTAGCTTGCCCATCCAGAGCAGCAGGGATCACTGTGAACTCCAGCTTCTTGCACATATCCATTTCTAGCTCTGGTACGTTGTAACATACACTCACATATGATGCTGAAACACACAGAGAACACATTAGGCCGCAGGAGTGAGGATGGCATGACTTACTGACACAAGATGAGAGTATTTGCAATAAACCATGCATTAGAAGCTAATAAGGGTGCACTCTACCAAAATGTTCTCTTTTAACATTTTAACAGCAGAGGTTAAAATTGAAAAAAGGGGGTTTAGAGTATTCATACACCTGTCTGGTGCTTTCTGGGCTGGATGTCAAGGCGAATGTGTAGGCAGGGTCTGCATGCTGTGCCCTGTCTGCAGCACAGCACCGGCTGCACCTCCAGACCCCTGTGATCGACAGGACACTCTGGGTTCAGAACCATAGCACCTGCCTTCACTGTGCAGTTAGAGAGACTCTGATGAGAGACAAGGTAAACAGTCACTACACAACTACCGTTATTGTATGCAAGTACTATACTCTATTCATCCATTCATACACAATGACTACACACCTACCGGTGAGTACCTTACTGTGTTCAACCCAGTGACGTGCAGTCAGGGTAGGCAGGTTAGCCAGTGCCTACCCTGTGATAATCTAATCAAAATAACTGTTATGAAAAGCCAAATAAAAAATATAATAAAAAATAGATTTTCACAACAACAACAAAAATATTGAATGTTTTTTCTCAATGATTCTGGTGGTTTGTATGTTGAAAATACCAACATTTGCTAAAACTGCATTAAAAGAAACTCAGGAGAGGCACCAGGGTATGCATCACCGATTGTCGAATGCAGTGCCTACCTTCCCCTTCATTGAAATGCATTCAAATCGCATTCCTGACTCCAGTCACTGTTGATGGACTGGGCAAACACTGCATAATCCCTATTGCGCTAGCTACATTCATTTCATTGAGCGGATTTCATAGTTTGTACATGCGTATTGCCTTAAAAATGTTTTGGGATATCAGAGATACTCACCTCTTCCTCTCTGTGGATATGCAGTTCTTATGGTCGTGTTTACATAGTTTGGCACTGGCATCCCCTGAGTGTCATCTAACATTAATGAAGTTAACTAGCTAGCATAAAAAATAACCTAACAAAACGGATATTATGCACTTCAAAAAAGTTCCATTCATCCAAAAGGATAGATTAATGGATTTAATTTACAAGTGAAGGTAAGCCTTTAGCATTTTCCTTTGCAATTAGCAGGCCATGAATGAACATGAGAATAACTGGTTTATTACAAATGCGTAAAACATATGTAACTTGCTCCATGATTATCAGTCGCATGGACCACGACATACATTTAAGCTATATATACTGTAGAAAAGAGAAGATTTCAAGCTTCATAATGATATCAAATGTGTGTATCAACTGTCAAAACTATGATTAGTTGTTAAGAGAAAATCACCCCAGAAGTGTGCTCTAATATTTCAGCCCCTGGCACCATTTGCATTCTGCACGCAGCAACGCAAGTGCCACTGTAGAATACATTGTATGTCTGACTGTTATTTAGCATAATGTGTAGCTTGCTAGCTACTTAATTAACAGTTGAACAAGATAATGTGCTATCTAGCTTGTTTGTTTATTAAAACTGTGTAGGCTAGCAAGCTAAACAGCTTCTTATATTGTCCATATATTGGTCTTTAGTGCCACCTATCGGTTGTGAATGACTGTTAGAGTTGAGCTGTGTGATTTTATCGGATGATATGAAATGTGCGGCCATCGGAGACTATCGCTTGTGTATCATCTGTGTTTACATATGGTTAATTATTTTTCTTAATTTTGGTTAATAGCCTTTGTCACTCTGGTTGTTGGAGCTATCTGTTGTATGGTAAGCTTGGGCTTCATCAATGTGATTCTTGTAAGTAAATCTGCCATTGATAACGAGCCATCAGACAGGCAAAGCGTCAATACAGGACTAAGATCAAATCCTACTACGCAGGCTCTGACGCTCACCGGATGTGGGAGGGCTTGCAAACTATAATGGATTAGAAAGGGAAACCCAGCCATGAGCTGCCCAGTGACGCGAGCCTACCAGAAAAGTTAAATGCCTTCTATGCTCGCAAGCAACACTGAACCAGACATGAGATTACCAGCTGTTCTGGACGACTGTGTGATCACGCTCTCTGTAGCCGATTTGAGTAAGACCTTTAAACAGGTTAACATTCACAAGGCCGCAGGGCCAGATGAATTACCAGGACGCGTACTCAGTTCATGTGCTGACCAGCAGGCAAGTGTCTTCACTGACATTTTCAACCTCTCCCTGACACAGTCTGTAATAGCTACATGTTTCAAGCAGATCACCATAGTCCCTGTGCCCAAGAACGCCAAGGTAACCTGTCTAAATTACTATCACCCCATAGCACTCACATCTGTAGCCATGAAATGCTTTGAAAGGCTGGTCATGGCTCATATCAACACCATCATCCCATATGACCCACTCCAATTCACATACCTCCTGAACAGATCCACAGATGACGGAATCTATATTGCACTCCACACTGCCCTCTCCCACCTGGACAAGAGGATCACCTATGTGAGAATGCTGTTAATTGACTACAGCTCAGCGTTCAACACCATAGTACCCTCCAAGCTCATCAACTAAGGACCCTGGGACTGAACACCTCCCTCTGCAACTGGATCCTGGACTTCCTCCAGTTCCTCCATGCTGACCCACAACACGGGGCCCATCAGGGGTGCGTGCTTAGTCCCCTCTTCAGCCACGACTGCGTGGCCGTGCACAACGCCAACACCATCATTAAGTTTGCTGAGGTAGGCCTGATCACCGATGACGATGAGACAGCCTATAGGGAGAAGGTCAGAGACCTGGCAGTGTGGTGCCAGGAAAACAACCTCTCCCTCAGTGTCAGCAAGACAGCACGCCCCCATTCACATCGACGGGGCTGTAGTAGAGCGGGGTCAAGAGCTTCAAGTTCCTTGGTGTACACATCCCTAAGCATATATCATGGTCCACACACACCAACACAGTCGTGATGAGGGCACGACAGCGCCCTCAGATCCTCAAATAATTATACAGCTGCACCACTGAGAGCATCTTGACTGGCTGCATCACCGATTTGTATGGCAACTGCTTGTATCCAACCACAAGGTGTTAAAGAGGGTAATGCTTACGGCCCAGTACATCACCTTGCCATCCAGGGCCTCTATACCAGGCTGGGTCAGAGGAAGGCCCTAAAAATTGTAAAAGATTCCAGCCACCGAAGTCATAGTCTGTTCTTTCTGCTACCGCAAGGCAAGCAGTACCAATGCACCAAGTATGGAACCAATAGGACCCTGAACAGCTTCTACCCCCAAGCCATAAGACTGCTAAACAATTAGTTAAATAGTTAACCAAATAGCTAACCCGACTATCTGCATTGACCCTTTTTGCACTATATTTTTTGACTCATCACATATGCTGCTGCTACTGTTTTATTATATATCCTGTTGCCTAGTCACTTTATTCCTAGTTATATGTACCTAAATTACCTCGTACCCCTGCACATCGACTGGTACCTGGTACCTCGTGTGTATAGTCAAGTTATCGTTACTCATTGTGTATTTATTATTACTTTTATGATTACTTGTTTTTACTTTTCTATGATTTCTCTATTTTCTTTCCCTTTGCATTGTTGGGAAGGGCCCCTAAGTAAGCATTTCACTGTTAGTCTACACCTGTTGTTTACGAAGCATGTGACAAATACATTTTGGTTTGATTTGAGCCAGTGCCTACCCAGCCACTGACCTCTCCACACGTCACTGATTCAACCACACATACACGGTCACTAGGCCTGCACAACTACTGGTAAGTACTATGCTGTATTCATCCATACATACAGTGCCTTCAGAAAGTATTCATACCCCTTGACTTATTCCACATTTTGTTGTGTTACAGCCTGAATTCAAAATGTATTAAATATTATTTTTGTTCACTCATCTATACACAGTACTCCATAATGACAAAGTGAAATATGGAAATATCTCATTTACATTAGTATTCATGCCCTTGAGTCAATACTTTGTAGAAGTACCTTTGGCAGCGATTACAGCTGTGAGTCTTTCTGGGTAAGTCTCTAAGAGATTTCCACAGCTGAATTTGCCCATTATTCTTTTCAAGCTTTGGTTGTTGATCATTGCTAGGCAACAATTTTCAGGTCTTGCCATAGTAGATTTAGGTCAAAACTGTAACTTTGCCACTCATGAACATTCACTGTCTTCTTGGTAAGCAACTCAGTGTAGATTTGGCCTTGTGTTTTAGGTTATTGCCCTGCTGAAAGGTGAACTAATCTCCCAGTGTCTGGTGGAAAGCAGACTGAACCAGGTTTTCCTCTAGGATTTTGCCTGTGCTTAGCTCCATTCCTTTTATTTTTTTATTCTGAAAAACTCCCCAGTCCTTAACGATTACAACCATACCCATAACATGATGCAGCCACCACTATCGTTGAAAATATGGAGAGTGGTACTCAGTAATGTGTTGTATTAGATTTGCCCCAAACATAACACTTTGTATTCAGGACAAAAAGTTCAGTTACTGACAAAAAGTTTTTTGCAGTATTCATTTAGTGCCTTGTTGCAAACAGGATACATGTTTTGGAATATTTTTTATTCTGTACAGAGTAGTATTGTGGAGTAACTACAATGTTAGTTCGTTTTCTCCTATCACAGCCATTAAACTCTGTAACAGTTTCAAAGTCATCATTGGCCTCCAGCAACTAAGTTAGGAAGGACGCCTGTATCTTTGTTGTGACTGGGTGTATTGATACACTATCCAAAGTGTAATTAATAACTTCACCATGCTCCAACATAATCCAGGTAGAATCAGGAATTCCCCAGGGCAGCGGTCTAGGCACCTTACTTTTTTAAATCTTTACTAATGACATGCCACTGGCTTTGAGTAAAGCCAGTGTGTCTATGTATGCGGATGAGTCAATACTATACACGTCAGCTACTACAGTGAGTGAATTCACTGTAACACTTAACAAAGAGCTGCGGTGACTTTCAGAATGTGTGCCAAGGAATAAGTTAGTCCTAAATATTTCAGAAACTAAAAGCACTGTATTTGGGACAAATCAATCACTAAACCCTAAACCTCAACTAAATATTGCAATGAATTATGTGGAAATTGAGCAAGTTGAGGTGACTAAAGTGCTTGGAGTAACCCTGGATTGTAAACTGTCATGGTCAAAACATGTTGATACAACAGTAGTTAAAATGTTGAAAAGTCTATCTGTAATAAAGCACTACTCTACCTTCTTAACAACACTATCAACAAGGCAGGTCCTACAGGCCCTTGTTTTGTCGCACCTGAACTACTGGTCAGTCGTGTTGTCAGGTGCCACAAAGAGGGACCTCGGAAAATTACAACTGGCTCAGAACAGGGCAGCACTGCTGGCCCTTAAATGTACATGGAGAGCTAACATTAATAATATGCATGAAAATCTCTCATGGCTCAAAGTGGAGGAGAGATTGACTTCATCACTACTTGTTTTTGTAAGAACTGTTAACATGCTGAAGTCATTCAGAAATCATGTTAAACACTATTATTGCACACAGAGTGAGTCTATGCAATTTATTATGTGACTTGTTAAGCTAATTTTTACTCCTGAACTTATTTAGGCATGCCATAACCAAGGGGTTGAATACATATTGGCTTGCCATAAGAAATACCTATTGACTCAAGATATTTTAGCTTTTCATTTTTAATGAATTGTCCAAAAGAATTAAAAACATAATTGCACTTTGACATTATGGGGTATTTTGTGTAGGCCAGTGCCAAAAAAATCAAAATGTAATCAACACAACAAAATGTGGAAAAAGTCAAGTGGTGTGAATACTTTCTGAAGGCACTGTACAAGGTCACTACACAACTACCGGTAAGTACTTTACTGCATTTATACATACACAATGACTACTGACACACACACTGAGCCACACGGGATTTAGAGAAAGATATTAGACGTTGATACAACTTTTCTTTCTTCTGAGACACACTCACATGCACAATCACATGCACACTCACATGCACACACACACACACACACACACACACACACACACACACACACACACACACACACACACACACACACACCTGTTCGGGGATCAGTTATCATCATGACTTAAATAAGTAACGTGCAAGTTGGAAAAAGGAAACTATTTAATCTGAAGTGATTGTTAACAGATAGTGGCATACAGTACATCCACTTTCTTTCTCTGTTCCGCTCCCATCTCTCGCTTTCCTCTTCCTCGTTTCTGTGTCCATCTCCTTACCGCCCCTCTCCCTCTCTCTCCCTCTCTCTCTCTCCCTCTCTCTCTCTCCCTCTCTCCCTCCCTCTCTCCCTCTCTCCCTCCCTCTCCTCTCCCTCTCTCCCTCTCTCCCTCTCTCCCTCTCTCTCTCTCTCTCTCTCTCTCTCTCTCTCTCTCTCTCTCTCTCTTGCTCTTTCTCTCACTCACTCACACACACACTCACTCACACACACACACACACACACACACACACACACACACACACACACACACACACACAATGATTGTTGACCTCTCGTTATAATTATCATTAGTTTATTACCTTTGAGCAGGTGAAGTGTTCACTCTCATAGTCAAGCATCTCCAACTCCAAAGCTGAAGCGAAAATCTGGATCGAGAGCAGGATTGCAAGCGACCACCACGAAAACATTGCTTGCATAATTTTCCTCAAATTCGACACATTCAGAGGTTTGTACCATTTGGATCCTCAAGCACTTGTTTCCTTCATCTGTGATTATCAACTGTTGTCAGATATGTCCACACACAATCCCATCAGTATGCCTCTGTGTATCTGACGACATGGAAAACAAGTTGAGCAAGTCCGAAAATCAAGTTGAGCGAGTCCTATTTCCTGGCATTGGGCTTTGCTAGAAGTCTAGACTGAATCCAACTTCCTGATGTCAGACACCAGGCTGTGTCGAAGAATGGAGGGGATTACCTGAGGGAAACAGAGAGAGAGCAAAGTGCTGCCTATTAGCTAAGATTAGATAAGACATTTGTGACATGCCTTGCTCAATTTCAACTGGTACAGTAAAAATGAATGACAGCCTAGCCATGATAGAATGAGAGAATAGCTTAACCATGTAATTTAAGATAATATACATTGATATACAAAACATTAGGAACACCTTCCTAATATTGAGTTGCACCGCCCCAACTGAATAGTGTGTGTGAATTGCCCATTTATATCATTGGCACTAACAAAAGGGTTGGATTGTTCAGCAACATGAACAGTAAATGCTAACACAGCTTTGGTGATGAAAGGTATGTCACGGAGGTGACTATGTATCTATTAGAAGCTGCCCCCATACATTGCAATACACACTGAGTATACCAAACATTAGGAACACCTTCCTGATATTGAGTTCCACCCCACCCCTTTTGCCCTCAGAACAGCCTCAATTTGTCGGGGCATGGACTCTACAAGGTGTCGAAAGTGTTCTATAGGGATGCTGGCCCATGTTAACTCAAATGCTTCCCACAGTTGTGTCAAGTTGGCTGGATGTCCTTTGGGTGGTGGACCATCCTTGAAACACACAGCAAATTGTTGAGCGTGAAAAACCCAGCAGTGTTAGAGTTCTTGACACACTCAAACCAGTGCGCCTGGCACCTACCACCATACCCCGTTCAAAGGCACCTAAATCTTTTGTCTTGCCAATTCACCCTCTGAATGGCACACATACACAATCCATGTCTCAATTGTCTCAAGGCTTAAAAATCCTTCTTTAACCTGTCTCCTCCCCTTCGTCTACACTGATTTGAAGTGGTTTAACAAGTGACATCAATAATAATAATAATAATAATATGCCATTTAGCAGATAAGGGATCATAGCTTTCACCTGAATTCACCTGGTCAGTCTATGTCATGAAAAGAGCAGGTGTTCTTAATGTTTTGTACACTCAGTGTATATCAAATGTAGTATGTTATTCTAATCAGTGGTTACATGAGCATACATGTGTAATACTTACAGCATAGATATTTTATCTTCACATCCATCTGTCAGAGTATATTGTATTCCTTGGTTGAAAAAGCTACAACTCTCCACAGTAAGAGAATACAGTGATTACATATCCAGGGAAATCCAACAGTTTCGTTGTTAGTGTGCTCTGTCATTGCCAGGTAACTGGTATATGGTAGGTTGAGTCATGTGGTGATTGTCTCTCAACCATGACATGATCCCTCCCCTCTGTGTCCTTGTCAAGCCCCCCCCCCCCCCCAAAAAAAAAAAAGCAGTGACATTAAACCAATGGTAATAGACAAGGCAACGCAGCAGTAATATCCAGGAGGAACCCTGCTTGTATATCGTGGTAAAACTTTAACCAATGTACCCAGACGGATCAAAGTCTATATCCTTGGCTGTGTGTGTGTGTGTGTGTGTGTTATCGGTGAAGTATAAACCCAATGTAAAGCCTGTCAAGCGTATGTCTGTCTGTTTGTATACTGTAAGCATTGTCATGTCAAGACCCACAGAAGAGCCTACAATTAGATTGTAGATTTAGTGACAATATCAGTGATACTGTATGTAGTGGTTCAGGGCACATTTTCCCTGTTCAGTTTGTTTCCTTCAGCAGCGTGTCCTGTAAAATGAATTAGTCACCTTACTTCATGAGAACTATTACAGAAATGCCACCCCCGTGCTTCACGGTTGGGATGGTGTTCTTCGGCTTGCAAGCACTCCCTTTTTCCTCCAAACATAACGATGGTCATTATGGCCAAACAGTTCTATTTTTGTTTCATCAGACCAGAGGACATATCTCCAAAAAGTATGATCTTTGTCCCCATGTGCAGTTGCAAACCATAGTCTGGCTTTTGTATGGCGGTTTTGGAGCAGCGGCTTCTTCCTTACTGAGCGGTTTTTCAGGTTATGTCGATATAGGACTCGTTTTACTGTGGATATAGATATTGTGAGGGAAAAAAGTATTTGATCCCCTGCTGATTTTGTACGTTTGCCCACTGACAAAGAAATGATCAGTCTATAATTTTAATGGTGGGTTTATTTGAACAGTGAGAGACAGAATAACAACAAAAAAATCCAGAAAAACGCATGTCAAAAATGTTATAAATTGATTTGCATTTTAATGAGGGAAATAAGTAATTGACCCCTCTGCAAAACATGACTTAGTACTTGGTGGCAAAACCCTTGTTGGCAATCACAGAGGTCAGACGTTTCTTGTAGTTGGCCACCAGGTTTGCACACATCTCAGGAGGGATTTTGTCCCACTCCTCTTTGCAGATCTTCTTCAAGTCATTAAGGTTTCGAGGCTGACGTTTGGCAACTCGAACCTTCAGCTCCCTCCACAGATTTTCTATGGGATTAAGGTCTGGAGACTGGCTAGGCCACTCCAGGACCTTTATGTGCTTCTTCTTGAGCCACTCCTTTGTTGCCTTGGCCGTGTGTTTTGGGTAATTGTCATGCTGGAATACCCATCCACGACCCATTTTCAATGCCCTGGCTGAGGGAAGGAGGTTCTCACCCAAGATTTGATGGTACATGGCCCCGTCCATCGTCCCTTTGATGCGGTGAAGTTATCCCCCCCCCCCCCCCCCCCCCCCCCCAAAAAAAAACAAAAAGCAGTGACATTAAACCAATGGTAATAGACAAGGCAACGCAGCAGTAATATCCAGGAGGAACCCTGCTTGTATATCGTGGTAAAACTTTAACCAATGTACCCAGACGGATCAAAGTCTATATCCTTGGCTGTGTGTGTGTGTGTGTGTGTGTGTGTGTTATCGGTGAAGTATAAACCCAATGTAAAGCCTGTCAAGCGTATGTCTGTCTGTTTGTATACTGTAAGCATTGTCATGTCAAGACCCACAGAAGAGCCTACAATTAGATTGTAGATTTAGTGACAATATCAGTGATACTGTATGTAGTGGTTCAGGGCACATTTTCCCTGTTCAGTTTGTTTCCTTCAGCAGCGTGTCCTGTAAAATGAATTAGTCACCTTACTTCATGAGAACTATTACAGAAATGCATTCCTGGAATGCTTAATAGCTTTTCCCTGGTGGGGATGATACACGCATAACTTTTAAGATCATATAATACATAGATGATAAAATTATGGTTAGTTGTAAATAGAGAATGTTTTATGTCCATGTTATGAACATGGTGACCCACTTGGTAACAACAACCTCCCAGACCCACCCAGTGCAAACAGCCTTTGACCTCACAGTGTAGACGGAAGTAAGAGAGTGAAAACTGAAAGCAAATACAGGCACACAAGAGGCCTGTGTGTGTACAGTTGAAGTTGGAAGTTTACATACACCTTAGCCAAATACATTTAAACTCAGTTTTTCACAATTCCTGACATTTAATCCTAGTAAAAATACCCTGTCTTAGGTCAGTTAGGATCACTACTTTATTTTAAGAATGTGAAATGTCAGAATAATAGTAGAGAGAATGATTTATTTAACTTTTATTTATTTCATCACATTCCCAGTGGGTCAGAAGTTTACATACACTCAATTAGTATTTGGTAGCATTTCCATTAAATTGTTTAACTTGGGTCAAACGTTTCGGGTAGCCTTCCACAAGCTTCCCACAATAAGTTGGGTGAATTATGGCCCATTCCTCCTGACAGAGCTGGTGTAACTGAGTCAGGTTTGTAGGCCTCCTTGCTCGCACATGCTTTTTCAGTTCTGCCCACTAATTTTCTATAGGTTTGAGGTCAAGGCTTTGTGATGGCCACTCCAATACCTTGACTTTGTTGTCCTTAAGCCATTTTGCCACAACTTTGGAAGTATGCTTGTGGGTCATTGTCCATTTGGAAGACCCATTTGCGATCAAGCTTTAACTTCCTGACTGATGTCTTGAGATGTTGCTTCAATATATCCACATAAATGTCCTTCTTCATGATACCATCTATTTTGTGAAGTGCACCAGTCCCTCCTGCAGCAAAGCACCCTCACAGCATGATTCTGCCACCCCCGTGCTTCACGGTTGGGATGGTGTTCTTCGGCTTGCAAGCACTCCCTTTTTCCTCCAAACATAACGATGGTCATTATGCCCAAACAGTTCTATTTTTGTTTCATCAGACCAGAGGACATATCTCCAAAAAGTATGATCTTTGTCCCCATGTGCAGTTGCAAACCATAGTCTGGCTTTTGTATGGCGGTTTTGGAGCAGCGGCTTCTTCCTTACTGAGCGGTTTTTCAGGTTATGTCGATATAGGACTCGTTTTACTGTGGATATAGATATTGTGAGGGAAAAAAGTATTTGATCCCCTGCTGATTTTGTACGTTTGCCCACTGACAAAGAAATGATCAGTCTATAATTTTAATGGTGGGTTTATTTGAACAGTGAGAGACAGAATAACAAAAAAAAAATCCAGAAAAACGCATGTCAAAAATGTTATAAATTGATTTGCATTTTAATGAGGGAAATAAGTATTTGACCCCCTCTCAATCAGAAAGATTTCTGGCTCCCAGGTGTCTTTTATACAGGTAACGAGCTGAGATTAAGAGCACACTCTTAAAGGGAGTGCTCCTAATCTCAGCTTGTTACCTGTATAAAAGACACCTGTCCACAGAAGCAATCAATCAATCAGATTACAAACTCTCCACCATGGCCAAGACCAAAGTGCTCTCCAAGGATGTCAGGGACAAGATTGTAGACCTACACAAGGCTGGAATGGGCTACAAGACCATCACCAAGCAGCTTGGTGAGAAGGTGACAACAGTTGATGCGATTATTCGCAAATGGAAGAAACACAAAAGACCTGTCAATCTCCCTCGGCCTGGGGCTCCATGCAAGATCTCACCTCGTGGAGTTGCAATGATCATGAGAACGGTGAGGAATCAGCCCAGAACTACACGGGAGGATCTTGTCAATGATCTCAAGGCAGCTGGGACCATAGTCACCAAGAAAACAATTGGTAACACACTACGCCGTGAAGGACTGAAATCCTGCAGCGCCTGCAAGGTCCCCCTGCTCAAGAAAGCACATATACAGGCCCGTCTGAAGTTTGCCAATGAACATCTGAATGATTCAGAGGAGAACTTGGTGAAAGTTGTGGTCAGATGAGACCAAAATGAAGCTCTTTGGCATCAACTCAACTCACCGTGTTTGGAGGAGGAGGAATGCTGCCTATGACCCCAAGAACACCATCCCCACCGTCAAACATGGAGGTGGAAACATTATGCTTTGGGGGTGTTTTTCTGCTAAGGGGACAGGATAACTTCACCGCATCAAAGGGACGATGGACGGGGCCATGTACCATCAAATCTTGGGTGAGAACCTCCTTCCCTCAGCCAGGGCATTGAAAATGGGTCGTGGATGGGTATTCCAGCATGACAATGACCCAAAACACACGGCCAAGGCAACAAAGGAGTGGCTCAAGAAGAAGCACATTAAGGTCCTGGAGTGGCCTAGCCAGTCTCCAGACCTTAATCCCATAGAAAATCTGTGGAGGGAGCTGAAGGTTCGAGTTGCCAAACGTCAGCCTCGAAACCTTAATGACTTGGAGAAGATCTGCAAAGAGGAGTGGGACAAAATCCCTCCTGAGATGTGTGCAATCCTGGTGGCCAACTACAAGAAACGTCTGACCTCTGTGATTGCCAACAAGGGTTTTGCCACCAAGTACTAAGTCATGTTTTGCAGAGGGGTCAATTACTTATTTCCCTCATTAAAATGCAAATCAATTTATAACATTTTTGACATGCGTTTTTCTGGATTGTTTTGTTGTTATTCTGTCTCTTACTGTTCAAATAAACCTACCATTAAAATTATAGACTGATCATGTCTTTGTCAGTAGGCAAACGTACAAAATCAGCAGGGGATCAAATACTTTTTTCCCTCACTGTACTTTTGTACCTGTTTCCTCCAGCATCTTCACAAGGTCCTTTGCTGTTGTTCTGGGATTGATTTGCACTTTTCGCACCAAAGTACGTTCATCTCTAGGAGACGGAACGCGTCTCCTTCCTGAGCGTTATGACGGCTGCGTGGTCCTATGGTGTTTATACTTGCGTACTATTGTTTGTACAGATGAACGTGGTACCTTCAGGCATTTGTAAATTGCTCCCAAGGATCAACCAGACTTGTGGAGGTCTACAATTTTGTTTCTGAGGTCTTGGGTGATTCCTTTTGATTTTCCCATGATGTCAAGCATAGAGGCACTGAGTTTGAAGGTAGGCCTTGAAATACATCCACAGGTACACCTCCAATTGACTCAAATTATGTCAATTAGCCTATCAGAAGCTTCTAAAGCCATGACATCACTTTCTGGAATTTCCCAAGCTGTTTAAAGGCACAGTCAACTTAGTGTATGTAAACTTCTGACCCACTGGAATTGTGATATAGTGAATTATACAGTTTTTTACAATCACTTTGGCACTAATTTCAGAACCTTGACGTCATTTTTCAAAACTCTAGACACAAAACTCACAACCAATGATTAAAATGCACATTTTTCAAAACTCAAATTTTTTTTTCAATTGCTTGGACACAATACACATAAAACTAAGATAATTTGTTCATTTAACAAAAGTCACCTGTTCAATATGACACAACTTAACATCAAAGTACTACTATTTCAAAAGGCAATTCACACATTACATTTCAGATGAGTGTCTACTCATTTCATTACAATTATCCAACTATCAATTGATACAACTGCTCAAAATGATAAGTAACTGTTGCATTACTCTTAATGCATAGTTGTATGGAAACAGACAAACAATATTCCATGTTTAGATCATGAAAGTTTCAAAGTAACGAGATTCATTGTCACCAATTAGCGTGGAGCATGAACCAATTAGAGTACATTATCTATGGATGTAATATTTCATCATCATTCTTTATCAGACACCGTTTTTATGGTCCCCTTGTAACCTTCCTTGATGAGCTCGATCAGGTCTGTAGAGCTGATGGCGTGACCTATGTCATTGTGTGGGATAATGTCAGGTTCCACCATGCTCATATGATACAGGCCATGGATGACGCATGCAATGACATCACGGCAGACCAGTGTCAGGCCTGGATTCGCCAGGGCCAAAGGTTTTTTCCAAGATGTTTGGCTAATGAAAACATCCATTGTGATGTAGATGAGAACCTGTGGCCAAAACCACAAGACAGAGTTGATGAAAATGTAGAAGTACAGTAATCACTCCTATGTTTAGCTTTTTACAGTACAAGCAAGCAAGTTGATGTTTTACAGTACTGTATTGTTTTTCATCAATATATTTCAGATTTTGTTCAATGATTCCACTGTGTCTGTGGTATTCTCTCTACTACTGCAGTACTTTTACAGGGATGTATTTACATGTAGTACCATAATGAAACATGTATCACCTATTTTGTACTACAATATTTAATGATTGTACGAACAATGACACAGTGAAACTATCGGTTGCTTGTGTGTGGGTGATCTAAATTAACGTTTCATTGGTATTTCACAATAAATTTGTATTTTGAATCAATGATTGTGCAAGTGTAAGATTTCTTTAAAGATATGAATGCACAATGCAATGTTTTGAACATTGGACAGCCTGTGTTACAAGTGATGACCGTTTTGAGTTTTGTGTCTAGAGTTTTGAAAAATGACGTCAACGTTCTGAAATTAGTGCCAAAGTGATTGTAAAAAACTGTAAGTGAAATAATCTGTCTGTAAACAATTGTTGGAAAAATTACTTGTGTCATGCACAAAGTAGATGTCCTAACCGACTTGCCAAAACTATAGTTTGTTAACAAGAAATTTGTGGAGTGGTTGAAAAATAGTTTTAATTACGGCAACCTTAGTGTATGTAAACTTCTGACTTCAACTGTATGTTTGTGTGTGTGTGTGAGTGTGTGTGTGAGTGTATGTGTGTGTGTGTGTGTGTGTGTGTGTGTGTGTGTGTGTGTGTGTGTGTGTGTGTGTGTGTGTGTGTGAGTGAGTGGGTGTGCATGTGTGTGTGGGTGGGTTCGTGTGTGGGTGGGTTTGTAAGAGAGAGTGTGTTTGTGTGTGTGTGTGTGTGTGTGTGCGCATACAGTATGTGTGTGTGTGTGTGTGTGTGTGTGTGTGTGTGTGTGTGTGTGTGTGCCAATGTGTGTGTGCATGGGTGCGTGTGTGTGTGTGAGAGAGAGTGTGCATGTGTGTTCATGGTGCCAATTATGTTTTGTTCTACAGTATATTGATCCTTAGCTTGAGTTTAGTCACAAAGACAGTATTTATTGAATGCAACACAAAAGTTGTCAAACTGTTCAAAAAAGGATACATTTATTCAACAATGAATATGTAACAGGAGATTTTAGCTGTGTTATTATGTGAACTCATAGAACTCTATAAAGAAACCTCAGTCTTTATTGTTGCTCTTCCTAATTCTAGAACAGAATTACTGTATGTATAGTGTTCAGCTAGAGTTGTGTGACGGTGAAGTCAGCTAGCTCCCCCTGTAGGGCAGACTGAAGAGGCAGCAACCAGCATACCACGGTGGGGGCAGAGCGAACACTGAGATCCACAGCAGAGCTCCTGCAACACACACACACACACACACACACACAATCCACAACACGGTTCTTAATATAATAGCGTATACAGAATACTCCAGTTTCCCTAAATATTCTCACAGAACCATACAATCAAACATAATCACCTAAATATAAACTCATTAAATACACTAAATACACATTATTGCTATAGATACACAGTATTAAAACACACAACCTATGAACAGTCAGATCACTATACATGCAGTTTGTTTCTAATAGACAGTTGAACTTACCTGGAGACTTCTACTTCTTTGTCCTGAATCTTCAGTTTCATTGTTGTTCCCTGGACCTCCTCATAGGCAACAGGTGGACGGGCTGTAACACACAGTACAAATACTGTCACTATGAATCAAATGGACAGTATGAGGAGGTGGTCCTCAATTTGTAGCTCAGTTTGTAGATTGTGCTTGCAATGCCAGAATTTAGGGTTTGATTACAGGGACCACCCATACGTAAAATGTATGCATGCATGACTAAGTCGCTTTGGATAAAAGTGTCTGCTAAATAGCATATATTATCATATATTATACTGTGTCATTAACTACCGTATTTTCATCAATTTAGTGAGCATCCATGGTGGGAATTCTTTAGGGCACATTTCCTAGTTACAGTACTTGTCAACTTTAAGTGGAGACTCCCATGGATGTCTTCTAGAACCCCTTCTGTTTTGTTTTGATGGTCCGAGGGATTTTCTTTGTTAGTTCCCTTTTTGTAAGTGACATTTTGAGTTTGTCAATCAAAACAAAAATTGTTTTCAAAAGTGTCTCATAACAAAATGTAGATGTTATGACTACAACATAGGGATATGAAGTGGAATGTAGTCCTAACTGATAATGTTTCACTCACCCACGATCCCAATAATGTTGTCTCCCGTTGGGCGCTGCATCAGGACGGGCCACAGAAACTTGATTCCATTCCTCTCATAGAGCATGATGATGATCCGTGTTGACCCTATGGTGATGTCCATCTCCTTGTCCCGTAGGATCAGAGACACACTGCAGGAAGTGACATAACAAGGATCAGATGTATCAATTAAATTGGCTATAAAAGAGGACATGTCTATTTTGACCAGATGTATAAATGTAGATAGGCAACTTAAGTAATATACACTGAATGTACAAAACATTAGGAACAACTGCTCTTTTCATGACATAGACTGACCAGATTAATCTAGGTGAAAGCTATGATCCATTATTGATGTCACTTGTTAAGTCCACTTCAATCAGTGTAGATGAAGGGGAGGAGACAGGTTAAATAAGGATTTTTAAGCCTTGAGACAATTGAGACATGGATTGTGTATGTGTGCCATTCAGAGGGTGAATGGGCAAGACAAAATATTTAGGTGGGGGGGGGGGGGGGTACCATAAAACTCAATATTAGGAAGGTGTTCCAAATGTAGAGGTCTTTACATTTACATTTCTGTCATTTAGCAGACGCTCTTATCCAGAGCGACTTACAGGAGCAATTAGGGTTAAGTGCCTTGCTCAAGGGCACATCGACAGATTTTTCACCTAGTCGGCTCGGGGATTAGAACCAGCGACCTTTCGGTTACTGGCACAACGCTCTTAACCACTAAGCTACCAGTCTTTACTTCTCCATACAATACTTATGTTCCCAACATTAAATACCTGAGGCCTAAACCAGACTGAACACTACACTCACTATTGTCTCACTTCACTTGGTTTAACCAGGCTATAATTAAAACATCTTGCACTGCACAAAAAGCTAAAACTTTTAGCAGAAAGTCTGTGATTCAGCACCTGTCTGTTTCGTGGTTGATGTTAAGGCTCCAGGAGAAATATGTTGCATTCTGTCCATCCTTGAAGGTGATGAGAGTGGTGTCTAACCCAATATGTTGATCACTTTTGTAGTGGATCACAACCTTCTGGTAGCCTGTGCTAGCTGATTGTCCAAGCTGACCGTTTATGGACAACTCTGGGAAAAGATGGACACCATTCATTCATTCATTCAAAGATGTTTGAGGAGTGAGTTGAAGACGTGGACAGGTCAAGGAATTAATTAATTTATGAATGAATGAAGGAAGGAAGGAAGGCATTGAAGAACATTTGAATTGAGGTCAAGTCACCATTGTTGGGGTCCTTTAGGAGTCTGAGCGAGAGAGCCACAGGGATGTCATAGCACAGTGGCAGGGCCTGACCCTCAGCTGGCAACAGGAACCTCAGGGGAGGACTCACTGAGAGAGAGAGAGAGAGAGAGAGAGAGAGAGAGAGAGAGAGAGAGAGTGAGAGAGAGAGAGAGAGAGAGGGACAGAGAGAGAGAGAAAGAGAGAGAGAGGAATAGAGAGAGAGAGAAAGAGAGAGAGAGGGAGAAGGACAGAGATATGATGCAGAGGGGAGAGAGAGATAAGGATAATTAGTTTATGAAAAAACAGCAATAATCTTTGAGAACATCTTAATCACACAAAAAATTAATGTTGAGAGCGACATAAATATTCCTTCATATCCTTCATCATAGCCCGGGCCAAGTAGGCCACTAAGCACATCCGCTTCATGGAAGACTGATCAAGACTGTCAAGTTTTACTGTGCGTCCTTTCTTTTCTGAATCCTTTTCTTCCCTAAGAGATTATTGAAATGTCGGCCATTTTGTCATTTCTAAATAGGATGAGGTTTTTGTTATACTGTTCATGAGAGTGGTACAAGTAGAGAGAAGCCATGGTTTTAAAATGGATTTCAATAAGTCATGGTAACGTTGTTTATTTTTTAAACAGCCATTCTGTCCAATGTAGTTTCAGTTCCACTAACTGGAAGGTTATGTATGGTGGCCCCGTGTAGCTCAGTTGGTAGAGCATGGCGCTTGCAACGCCAGGGTTGTGGGTTCGATTCCCACGGGGGGCCAGTATGAAAATGTATGCACTCACTAACTGTAAGTTGCTCTGGATAAGAGCGTCTGCTCAATGACTCTAAATGTATATTGCAGTACTAGTTGTAGCTGTAGGTTGTAGTTTAAATTGAGTGAGTTGGTAGATTTCACTTTCAGTTGGAAGTGTAACATGAGAGAACATTTACAAAGAATCCTATACACAGTCAGAACATTTACATAAAGAATCCAACACACAGACACACACACAGCCATAGCCAGATGGCCAGCCAGGCACACACACACACACACACATACTGTATAGTCAACCAGTTAGTCAGTGAGGGCATTTAAACAGGTAGGGCTCTACACACAGTCAGACAGTACAAAAAATATCAAACAATGATTTTATAAAATGTGGAAGAATTACCCAGTTTATAGGCAGAATATGACATCTGCTCATCCTCAGCAGCATGCAGCATGCCTATGACAAAAGACATCACACATTGAGCACACCTAAACTGATGTTCAACAAGTGGAGCTATGATGTAGGGGAAAGATACAGTAGTCACTTGCCTCCTCCTCCTCCTCCTCCTACTCCTGCTCCTCCTCTCCTTGCTCCACCTCCTCCTGCTCCTGCTCCTACTCCACCTCCCACACTTCTTCCTCCTCCCATTGTCTGAGCGTGTCCTGTAAAGCAGGTAAGAGGCAGCAGTAGTTGTAAAACTCATCACAGAATTGTGTAGAATTGGTCTGAATTCAATCATTGCAGAATGTTTTTTAGTTTTTTATTGCACTACACTCTCACAGCGGTTAGACTTCATTTTGACGGGGGAAGAACCAGCTAGGGAAAGACAGAAGGAAAGTTAATTGGCTTAATAGTGTTTGGGCAATGCATTAATATAACATATCTCTACTGTTGTTGGCATTCCTTTTGATTTGAATGTTTTCCCTTTATTCTTTCTCTCCTTTGTTTTTGTTTGTAAAGTGTGTTGTGACCATTTCTTTTTGTAAAATCACGCTTTTTGATTTGATTTTAATCATTGCATATACCTGTACTAATATAAACCTGATCACACTGATCATGATGCTATTTATTTATACTGGTTTCAGTGTTTGTATACACTGAGTGTACAAAACATTCCATGACATAGACTGACCAGGGGAATCCAGGTGAAAGCTATGATCCCTTATTGATGTCACATGTTAAATCCACTTCAATCAGTGTAGATGAAGGGGAGGAGACAGTTTAAAGAAAGATTTTTAAGGATGTGTGCCATTCAGAGGGTCAATAGGCAAGACAAAAGATTTAAGTGCCTTTGAACGGGGTATGGTAGTAGGTGCCAGGCGCACCGGTTTGTGTCAAGAACTAGAAATACTGCTGGGTTTTTCAAGTTCAACAGTTTCCTGTGTGTATCAAGGATGGTTCACCACCCAAAGGACATCCAGCCAACTTGACACAACTGTAGGAAGCATTGGAGTCAACATGGGCTAGCATCCCTGTGGAACGCCTTCGACACCTTATACAGTTCATGCCCCGGCGAATTGAGGCGGTTCTGAGGGCAACTCAATATTAGGAAGGCATTCTTAATGTTTTGTAGACTCAGTGTATATAAAACACAGGAAATTCACATTTTTGACTGCGCTGGGCCTTCATGGTAAAAATAATAATAATCATAGTACATACTCTGCTGTTCTATCATGTGTGCAATGATGATTGTGGAGTGTTTGTTGTTTGAAGTAACATCTTTGTTGTTGTAATATCGCAAACGGACATGGCAGTTTCACCACTATGGATTCCAGCTTCAAGATGAATGTCAACGCCGTTTACATCACTGTCAATATCTGTGTGTTTGAATTATAGACTTCCGGGATCTTGCATGCGACACCTTGGAATGCAGAGTTTGTTTTTCGCCAGGCATTACTGGAACCATGTAGTCCAAAAATGTATACTTTTGAATCATCTGTCCATAGAATGTTCTTCCAAGAGTCTTGATGATCATCCAGGTGCTTTTTGGCAAACTTGAGTCAACTTTTTGGACGAGATGGGTCCCATTATGCTTGGCGAAAACCAAACACTGCATTCCACAGTAAGAACATCATACCAAAGGGCAAGCATGGTGGTGGTGGTGTGATGGTTTGGGGATGCTTTGCTGCCTCAGGACCTGGACGACTTGACTTAATAGAAGGAACCATGAATTCTGCTCTGTATCAGAGAATTCTACAGGAGAATGTCAGACCATCCGTCTGTGAGCTGAAGCTGAAGCGCAGCTGGGTCATGCAGCAAGACAATGATCCAAAACACACAATCAAGTCTACATGAAAATTGCTAAAACGCAACAAATTGGAAGTTTTGGAATGGCCTAGTCAAAGTCCAGACCTAATCCCAATTGAGATGTTGTGGCAGGACTTGAAACGAGCAGTTCATGCTTGAAAACCCACACGTCACTGAGTTAAAGCAGTTCTGCATGGAAGAGTGTGCCAAAATTCCTCCACAGCGACGTGAGAGACTGATCAACAACTACAGGAAGCATTTGGTTGGAGTCATTGCAGCTAAAGGTGGCACAACCAGTTATTGAGTGTAAGGGGGCAATTACTTTTTCACACAGGGGAATTGGGTGTTGCATAACTTTGTTTATGAAATAAATGAAATAAATATGTAATTGTTGTGTTATTTGTTCACTTATGTTCCCTTTATCTAATATTAGGTTTTGGTTGAATATCTGATAACATTCAGCATCCCAAATATGCACAAGTAGAGAAAATTAGAAAGGGGGCAAATACTTTTTCATAGCACTGTATAATATCATACACAATTATAGATTTTTTTCCATCCCTGATGTTTTCCTGGGCTTTACTATAGCTCTCAGATGCATTTCAGACACTTCAAAACATATTTCCTTTTGATCAATTTTTTTGCCATGTATGTACAGTACAGTATGGACTAATAGAAGTAAGGGTTGAAAAATTTCCCAAAATTCCCTGGTTTTCCGGAAATCCTAAAGTGAATATCCCAGCGAAGATTGAAGATTAAAATTAGGGGTAGGGTATTTGTTTTACATTTACATTTAAGTCATTTAGCAGACGCTGTTATCCAGAGCGACTTACAAATTGGTGCATTCAACTTAGGATAGCCAGTGGGACAACGACATCTTGATCACAGTACATTTACATTTACGTTTTAGTCATTTAGCAGACGCTCTTATCCAGAGCGACTTACAGTTAGTGAATACATTTTTATTTATTTTTATACTGGCCCCCCGTGGGAATCGAACCCACAACCCTGGCGTTGCAAACGCCATGCTCTATCAACTGAGCTACATCCCTGCCGGCCATTCCCTCCCCTACCCTGGACGACGCTGGGCCAATTGTGCGCCGCCCATGGGTCTCCCGGTCGCGGCCGGCTGCGACAGAGCCAGTATGTAGACTTCTTCAAACAAGCAGCTGTGAGCAAAGTCAGTGCAATCAGGGACAACTACATCTCGATCACAATAAGTACATTTCTTTAAACAAGTCAGTGCTAGCAGGTGAAATAAGTCAGGTTTTAGTTTAGACAAAAGACAGTGGTAGTAAAGGGGGGGTAGAAGGATTACTAATACTATTCCAGGTATTCCTTAAAGAGGTAGGGTTACAAGTGTCTCTGAAGGTGGTCAGTGACTCCGCTGTCCTGGCATCGTGGGGGAGCTTGTTCCACCATTGGGGTGCCAGAGCAGCGAATAGCTTTGACTGGACTGAGCGGGAACTGTGCTTCCGTAGAGGTAGGGGGGCTAGCAGGCCAGAGGTGGATGAACGTAGTGCCCTCGTTTGGGTGTAGGGTCTGATCAGAGCCTGAAGGTAAGGAGGTGCCGTTCCCCTCACAGCTCCGTAGGCAAGCACCATGGTTTTGTAGTAGATGCGAGCTTCAACTGGAAGCCAGTGGAGTGTGCGGAGGAGTGGGGTGACGTGAGAGAACTTGGGAAGGTTGAACACCAGATGGGCTGCAGCATTCTGGATAAGTTGCAGGGGTTTAATGGCACAAGCAGGGAGCCCAGCCAACAGCGAGTTGCAGTAATCCAGACGGGAGATGACAAGTGCCTGGATTAGGACCTGTGCCGCTTTCTGTGTAAGGTAGGGTCGTACTCGGTCGAGCCTCCGTGACACAGAGAAGAGCAGTCTCAGTTGAATGACCAGTCTTGAAACCTGACTGGTTAGGATCAAGAAGGTAATTCTGAGAGAGATAGCAGGAGAGTTGGCTAGAGACGGCACGCTCAAGAGTTTTGGAGAGAAAAGAAAGAAGGGATACTGGTCTGTAGTTGTTGACATCGGAGGGATCGAGAGTAGGTTTTTTGAGGAGGGGTGCAACTCTCGCCCTCTTGAAAATGGAAGGGACATAGCCAGCGTTCAAGGATGAGTTGATGAGCGAGGTGAAGTAATGGAAAAGGTCTCCGGAAATGGTCTGGAGAAGAGAGGAGGGGATAGGGTCAAGCAGGCAGGTTGTTGGGCGGCCGGCCGTCATAAGTCGCAAGATATCATCTGGAGAGAGAGGGGAGAAAGAAGTCAAAGCATAGGCTAGGGCAGTGTGAGCAGGACCAGCGTTGTCATTTGACTTAATAAATGAGGATCGGATGTCGTCAACCTTCTTTATAGTTTTACCACCATAATCTGGCAATGGCTGTGCAGGGTGCCCTGGTAAACAGAAAACATACAATATATATACAAAAGTATGTGGACACCCCTTCAAATTAGTGGATTTGGCTATTTTAGCCACACCCATTGCTGACAGGTGAAGAAAATCGAGCACACAGCCATGCGATCTCCATAGACAAACATTGTCAGTAGAATGGCCTGACTGAAGAGCTCAGGTACGTTCATAGGATGCCACCTTTCCAACAAGTCACTTTGTCAAATTTCTGCCCTGCTAGAGTTGCCTCTGTCAACTGTATGTGCTGTTATTGGGAAGTGGAAACGTCTAGGAGCAACAGCTCAGCCGCAAAGTGGTGGGCTACACAAGCTCACAGAACGGGACCGCCGAGTGCTGCAGCGTGTAGTGTGTAAAAATCGTCTGTCCTCGGTTGCAACACTCACTACTGAGTTCCAAACTGCCCCTGGAAGCAACATCAGCACAAGAACTGTTCTTCGGGAGCTTCATGAAATGGGTTTCCATGGCAGAGCAGCCGCACACAAGCCTAAGTCCACCATGCGCAATGCCAAGCGTCGGTTGAACCAACCGCCGCCATTGGAATCTGGAACAGTGGAAATGCGTTCTCTGGAGTGATGAATCACGCTTCACCATCTGGCAGTTCGACAGAAGAATCTGGGTTTGGCGGATGCCAGGAGAACGCTACCTGCCCAAATGCATAATGCCAACTGTAAAGTTTGATGGAGGAGGAATAATGGTCTGGGGCTGTTTTCCATGGTTCAGGCTAGGCGCCTTAGTTCCAGTGAAGGTATATCTTAATGCTACAGCATACAAGACATTCTAGACGATTCTGTGCTTCCAACTTTGTGGCAACAGTTTAAGGAAGGCCCTTTCCTGTTTCAGCATGACAATTCTCCCGTGCACAAAGCGAGATCCATACAGAAATGGTTTGTCGAGATCGGTGTGGAATAACTTGACTGGCCTGCACAGAGCCCTGACCTCAACCCCATCGAACACCTTTGGGATGAATTGGAACGCAAACTGCGAGCCAGGCCAAATCGCCCAACATCACTGCTCGACCTCACTAATGCTCTTGTGGCTGAATGGAAGCAAGTCCCCGCAGCAATGTTCCAACATCTAGTGGAAAGCCTTCCCAGAAGAGTGGAGGCTGTTATAGAAGCAAAAGGGGGACCAACTCCATATTAATGCCCATGATTTTGGAATGAGATGTTCGACGAGAAGGTGTCCACACACTTTTGGTCATGTAGTGTATTTAAAGTCAATATACAGGTTTTAATATTAAGTTTATAGATTGACAGTCTTTGCTCTTTTATTTACTCCATTGACTCACACCATACAGTAATTGTCATTCACTGTTGTAGACAGTATGTGTTTGTATGCGTGCGCACATACGTGTGTGTGTGTATACCTATGGTGTGTGCATGAGTGTGGGTGTGCTTGTGTGCGTGCGTGTGAGTGTGTTGATGATGGTAGTTATGCTCACCGGGGAATCCAGGTTGGCCACTCATGAACTGGAAGCTTGACCCAGAGAAGCCTTGCCTGGATCCTGAGGGCTTCTCCCCCTCCTTGGGCTTGTGGGCCACCTGTGAGTCCTCTCCCTGGGGCTTGGTGACCACCATGGAGGTGAGAGTAGTCACGAAGCCATACTTCAGACAAAGATCCAGGGCCTCTTTCTTCACCTTCTCCTTTGCCTTCCCGCTTGACTGCACCCTTAAACACACACACACAAACACATGTATGATTTAAAAACAAGAATACTTTTATTTGCATAAAACATTTACAAAATAGTATAAGATCATTTTTAACCTGGTTTGCAAAACCTTTATTGGGATAATCAAGTCGAGAATTAAAATTCTGTAAATTTGGCGGATAAAGTTTGAATGACACAATTACATGTGTACAACATGTAAAGACCTGCATCAATATCCTGAGAGATTTTCAGTTTCTAAAAGGACGTACAGTATTTGGGTGTTTTTGGAGCCTTTGTTCATGTTTTTTCAGTGTATCACTGGTTGGGGGTTCGTAAAAAAAAAAGTGAAATCATTTTAATTTTTTGGAGTGTCTAGACCCTTCTATAACATGCTATTTATATCAAAAATTGAGATTTGGTTGAAAAAAAGCTAAATTCTCCTTAAAGTGGTCCATCTCTGAAATCATGTTGTGCCACATCATCACAATAAGGTTCTCGTCAATGAGTTAGGGAATAAAAAACTATCACATTTCATAACACTTTTTAATTACCTGCACTCCTGATTGCCATATCAGCCAATATGGTATGGGCATAATTGTCTTGAACACCTCCATCCGTCTATATTGCATGAGAAAGTATATATTTTTTGGAACAAATTATTCAACTACCATCACGAAACACAATTTTCTACTCTACCCCATAGAATTAGGAATTAAAATACTAGAATGGACATGAATCTTCTTATGATGGGAGAAAGGTCAGCCATTTTGGTCAGGGAAATGGTCAACCATGGTTTGCCAGTGCTGTGATAAGATATTGTTTAAAATAATTAACTTGAAGATTTTATCTGCACTGTATGTTTTTTAGCTAGCTAGCCAGCCAGTTTTAGAGGAAATATTCCATAAATTGTTTAAATGCAACAGCTTTCCAAGAAAACAAAAATATAGACATTTATAGTCAGAAAGTATTTATACCCTTGACTTATTCCAAATTTTGTTGTGTTACAGCCTGAATTCAAAATTGATTAAATATATATATTTTCTCACCGATCTACACACGATACCCCATAATGACAAAGTGAAAACTATATATTGAAAATGAAATACAGAAATATCTCATTGATATATGTATTCACACCCCTGAGTCAATACTTTGTGGAAGCACCTTTGGCAGTGTTTACAGTTGTGAGTCTTTCTGGGTAAGTGTCTAAGAGCTTCCCACAGCTGGATTGTGCAATTATGCCCATTATTCTTTTTAAACTTCTTCAAGCTCTGTCAAATTGGTTGTTGATCATTGCTAGACAATTATTTTCAGGTCTTGCCATAGATTTTCAAGTAGATTTAAGTCAAAACTGTAACTCGGCCACTCAGGAATATTCAATGTCGTCTTGGTAAGCAACTCAAGCGTAGAGTTGGCCTTGTATTTTAGGTTATTGTCCTGCTGAAATGTGAATTAATCTCCCAGTGTTTGGTGGAAAGCAGACAGGTATTTCTCTAGGATTTTGCCTGTGCTTAGCTCTATTCCATTTCTTTTTTAATCCTGAAAAACTCCCCAGCATACCCATAACATGATGCAGCCACCACTATGCTTGAAAATATGGAGAGTGGTACTCAGTAATGTGTTGTATGCGCCATACTACTATGGTTGACCCTGAAAAAAAAAAAAACATTTCACTGTACCTATCCGGTGTATGTGACAATACAACAACAATAATTATTGTTAGAATTTTATTTTTACTTTTTTTGTGGATTTGCCCCAAAAATAACACTTTGTATTCAAGACAAAAAATGTATTGCTTTGCCACATTTTTTGCAATATTACTTTAGGGCCTTGTTGCAAACAGGATGCATGATTTGGAATATTTTTATTCTGTACAGGCTACCTTCTTTTCACTCTGTCAATTAGGTTAGGGACAGATCGAAATTTACTGGGGGGGAGGGGCTTGTCCAACTCAAGGTGTCATACAAAAATATGCCCCCCCCCCAAAGTAAAATATATTTTCACATGATCCTCCCCTTATACAGTCAAATAAATTGAACACCCTCCCCCGTCATATAATTAATTCAAAATAATATTTACGACCAAAAATAACAATAACTGTAGTGACCCTGTGTTTATAAACGTGTATATCGATTTAGCCACTTCAGCATGCTTTCGTGGCACAGTCGATGCCACGCAGGGCTACGGGCCAGAAGTTTGGGGGTTCGCCGACCACCACAGACGAGCTCACTCTCTCTGCCTGTTTTATTACACTACGATCAGAGCCGGCTGCAGACAATGATCAGCTAGTGGGAAATCAGATTTTCAACATTTTGATTTCATATTTATAATTATATAAAATATATGCATCAAAGGCTTCTGTGCCAATGCACCACACAACCAATAAACAAAGCCGACTTCGGGCACTTCAATATCATGGTTTGCGTTTTCAACACCACAATAAATAGACTATTTCAATCTCGACAAGCAGAAAAACAGTGCATTCGGAAAGTATTCAGTCCCCTTGACTTTTTGCACATTTTGTGACGTTACAGCCTTATTCTAAAATTGATTAAATAGTTTTTTCCCTTCATCAATCTATATTCAATACCCCATAATGACAAAGCAAAAACACGTTTTTAGAAAAATGTGCAAATGTAAACAGCCTTATTATAATATTGATTAAATGATTTATTTTTCTCATCAATCTACACACAATACCCCATAATGACAAAGTGAAAACAGGTTTTTAGACATTTTTGCAAATTTAAATAAGTATTAAGACCCTTTGCTATGAGATCATCATTCTTAAATGAAAGAAGTTTGGAACCACCAAGACTCTTCCTAAAGCTGGCCTCCCGGCCAAACTGAGCAATCGGAGGAGAAGGGCCTTGGTCAGGGAGGTGACCAAGAACCCGATGGTCACTCTTACAGAGCTCCAGAGTTCCTCTGTGGAGATGGGAGAACCTTCCAGAAGGACAACCATCTCTGCAGCACTCCATCAATCAGGCCTTTATGGTAGAGTGGCCAGACGGAAGCCACTCCTCAGTAAAAGGCACATGACAGCCCAATTGGAGTTTGTCAAGAGGCACCTGAAGGACTCTTAGACCATGAGAAACAAGATTCTCTGGTATGATAAAACCAAGATTGAACTCTTTGGCCTGAATTCAAATGTCACGTCTGGGGGAAACCTGGCACGGTGAAGCATGGTGGTGGCAGTATCATGCTGTGGGGATGTTATTCAGCGGCAGGCACTGGGAGACTAGTCAGGAATGAGGGAAAGATGAACGGAGCAAATTATAGAGAGATCCTTGAAAAAAACCTGCTCCAGAGTAAAGGGTCTGAATACGTATGTAAATGTAATATTTCATTTTTTTATGTTTAATAAATGTGCACATTTTTCTAAAAACCTGTTTTTGCTTTGTCATTATGGGGTATTGAATATAGATTGATGAAGGGAAAAAACGATTTAATCAATTTTAGAATAAGGCTGTAACGTAACAAAATGTGGAAAAAGTCAAGGGGTCTGAATACTTTCCAAATGAACTGTACATCCCTCCCTACCTTGTACAGTGGGGAAAAAAAGTGTTTAGTCAGCCACCAATTGTGCAAGTTGTCACGGAATCAGCCGAGGCTGCTCCTCCTCCTTGCTCGGGCAGGTTTCGGCGTTCGTCGTCTCCGGAGTACTAGCTGCCACCGATCTATGTTTCGGTGTTTGACTTGTTTTGTCCTGATTGTGTACACCTGTTCCCCATTATGTTGTATTGTTTCCCCTATTTAACCCTCTGTCGTGCATTGTGTGTTGTGTGTTATTGTATTAGTCTTCGGCAGTGTTAGTGTGCGGGTTGTTTTCCTCCTTGTATGGAGATGGTTTTCTTCTCTGGTTACTTTCAAGTAAAGTACGTTTCCAGTAAGCTCTGTGTCCTGCGTTTGACTTCGCCTACCGCATTTCACCGTCGCCTTCTGACAGAATAACACACCTTCCGATGGAGTCAGCAGGATCGTCCGCGCTCAGGGGAGCACTGGAGGAGCGTGTAACCCAACAAGAGGCCGTGATCCAGCACCTGGGCACCACCATCCAAGGGGTGATGGACACCTTGAGGCGATGGGAGAGTGGAGGTTTGCCCACACCTCATCCTACGATACCACCACCATCAGCCATACCCATCGGTCCATCTCCGGAGTCCAGAGGGATTCGGCTCTCGCTCCCGAGGGCTTATGATGGCACCGCGGCCGGGTGTCAGGGTTTCCTACTCCAGGTTGAACTCTACCTAGCAACCATTCACCCGGCGCCCTCGGGATACGAGAGCGTGTCTGCCCTCATCTCCTGTCTGTCCGGCAAGGCGCTGGAATGGGCTAACGCCGAATGGGGTGGGATAGACGCCGCTACGGTCAGCTATGCGGAGTTCACCCGCCGCTTCCGGGCAGTATTCGATCATCCCCCAGAGGGTAAAGCGGCGGGTGAGCGTCTATTCCACCTTAGACAGGGGAGGAGGAGCGCGCAGGAGTTCGCGCTGGACTTCCGGACGCTAGCAGCCAACACGGGATGGAATGAGAGGGCCCTCATTGACCACTACAGATGCAGCCTGAGGGAGGACGTGCGTCAGGAATTAGCCTGCAGGGACACCAACCTCAGCTTTGACCAACTGGTGGACATGTCGATTCGCCTGGATACCCTGTTGGTTACCCGCGGACATCCGGATTCTCGGCCGTCCATTCCATCCCCCAGCACTTTCGAGCCGACCCCTATGGAGCTCGGGGGTGCTGGTGCTAGGGAGACCAGGAGGGAGACCAGGAGGGAGGCCGTCCCCTGCACCAACTGTGGCCGCAGAGGACACACTGCTGGTCGGTGCTGGGGAGGGCCTCCTAGGAATCAAGGCAGTGGGCGACGCACTGATGAGTCATTCCAGGTGAGTAGGCACCCAACTCACCCAGAGCTCTCTGCTGATCATATGTGTATTAAAGTGGTGTTTCCCGAGGTTTCTCCTCACTCCCAGCATAAGGCGCTAGTAGATTCAGGCGCAGCTGGGAATTTCATTGATCGCCAGTTCACCTATAAGTTAGGGATTCCTATCGTACCTGTTGATGTGCCCTTCCCCATTCATGCCCTAGATAGCCGCCGGTTGGGGTCTGGGTTGATTAGGGAGGTCACGGCGCCTCTCCGGATGAAAACGCAGGAGGGTCATGAGGAGATAGTACGTTTGTATTTGATTGATTCTCCTGCATTCCCCGTGGTGTTGGGGCTTCCCTGGTTAACCGCTCATGACCCCAACATTTCATGGCAGCAGAGAGCTATCCAGGGATGGTCTGATCAGTGTACTGGGCGGTGTGTAGGCGTTTCCGTAGGGGCAACGACGGTGGAAAGCCCGAACCAAGTTCCCACCTTGCATATTCCACCTGAGTATGCCAATTTGGCTCTCGCCTTCAGTAAGAAGAAGGCGACTCAATTACCACCTCATCGACAGGGGGATTGTGCGATAGACATCCAGGTAGGCGCTGCGCTTCCACATAGTCACGTGTATCCTCTGTCTCAGGAGGAGACGGCCGCTATGGAAACCTACGTCACCGAATCTTTGAGACAGGGTTACATACAGCCGTCTACTTCCCCTGCTTCCTCGAGTTTATTTTTTGTGAAGAAGAAGGATGGGGGTTTACGCCCGTGTATTGATTACCGTGGTCTAAATCAGATCACCATCAAATACACAGGGCGCGATTCTTCACAAAATTGGATCTCAGGAGCGCGTACAACCTGGTGCGCATTAGGGAGGGAGATGAGTGGAAGACAGCATTCAGTACCACCTCGGGTCACTATGAGTACCTCGTCATGCCATACGGGTTAATGAATGCTCCTTCAGTCTTCCAATCATTTGTGGACGAGATTTTCCGGGACTTGCATGGACAGGGTGTTGTGGTATATATTGATGACATTCTAATATATTCCGCTACACGAGCCGAGCATGTGTCCCTGGTGCGTCGAGTGCTTGGTAGACTGTTGGAGCATGACCTGTATGCGAAGGCGGAGAAATGTCTGTTCTTCCAGGAGTCCATCTCCTTCCTGGGACATCGGTTGTCCGCGTCAGGGGTAGAGATGGAGATTGACCGCGTTTCTGCCGTGCGTAATTGGCAGACTCCAACCACGGTAAAGGAGGTGCAGCGCTTCTTGGGTTTTGCCAATTACTACCGGAGGTTTATCCGGGGCTTTGGACAGGTAGCAGCTCCCATTACCTCTCTGCTAAAGGGGGGTCCGGTGCACCTGCAGTGGTCAGCTGAGGCGGACAGGGCGTTTAAACGTCTGAAGGACCTGTTTACCTCGGCATTCCAGGTGGAGGTGGACGCTTCCGAGGCTGGGATCGGCGCTGTGCTGTCTCAGCGCTCGGGTACACCACCTAAACTCCGCCCCTGTGCTTTCTATTCTAAGAAGCTCAGTCCGGCGGAGCGCAATTATGACGTGGGGGATAGGGAGCTGCTGGCTGTGGTTCAAACCCTGAAGGTGTGGAGACATTGGCTTGAGGGGGCTAAACACCCTTTTCTCATTCTGACTGACCATCGTAACCTGGAGTACATCCGGGCAGCGAGGAGGCTGAATCCTCGCCAGGCAAGGTGGTCAATGTTTCTTTCCCGCTTTGTATTTAAGCTCACCTATATACCAGGGTCCCAGAACGCTAAGGCAGACGCCCTGTATCGACTATATGACACAGAGGAGAGGTCCATTGAGCCCACTCCCATACTCCCGGAGTCTTGTTTAGTGGCACCGGTGGTGTAGGAGGTGGATGCGGAAATCGAGCGGGCGTTACGTTCCGACCCTACTCCTCCACAGTGTCCAGAGGGTCGGAGGTACGTGCCGCTCGAGGTTCGCGACCGGTTGATATACTGGGCTCACACGTCATCCTCCTCTGGTCATCCTGGCATTGGTCGGACAGTGCACTGCCTTAGTGAGAAGTACTGGTGGCCAACCTTAGCCAAGGACGTGAGGGTTTATGTTTCCTCCTGCTCGGTGTGCGCCCAGTGTAAGGCATCTAGACACCTGCCCAGGGGGAAGTTACAACCCCTACCCGTTCCACAACGGCCGTGGTCTCACCTATCGGTGGATTTTGTCACGGACTTCCCCCCTCCCAGGGGAACACTACGATCTTGGTCGTTGTGGATCGGTTTTCTAAAGCCTGCCGTCTCATTCCCCTGCCAGGTCTCCCTACTGCCCTACAAACTGCTGAGGCCATGTTTACACACGTCTTCCGGCACTACGGGGTGCCTGAGGATATAGTGTCTGATCGGGGTCCCCAGTTCACCTCTAGAGTCTGGAGGGCATTTATGGAACGTCTGGGGGTCTCGATTAGCCTTACCTCAGGTTTTCACCCCGAAAGTAATGGGCAGGTGGAGAGAGTTATCCAGGATGTGGGTAGGTTTCTGAGGTCATATTGCCAGGACCGGCAAGAGGAGTGGTCGGGATATATTCCCTGGGCAGAGATAGCCCAAAACTCCCTCCGCCATTCGTCCACTAACCTGACGCCTTTCCAGTGTGTGTTAGGTTATCAGCCGGTTCTGGTACCTTGGCATCAGAGCCAGACCGAAGCCCCTGCGGTGGACGAGTGGTTTCGGCACTCGGAGGAAACTTGGAACGCTGCGCCTGTCCATCTGCAGCGTGCCATCAGGCGGCAAAAGGCGAGCGCCGATCGTCACCGCAGTGAGGCTCCGGTGTATGCACCAGGAGACCGGGTCTGGCTCTCGACCCGAAACCTGCCCCTTCGCCTGCCCTGCCGGAAGCTGGGTCGGCGGTTTGTGGGGCCCTTTAAAGTCCTGAGGAGATTGAACGAGGTATGTTATAGGTTACAACTGCCCAGGTATTATCGCATTAACCCCTCGTTCCATGTGTCTCTCCTCAGGCCGGTGGTGGCTGGTCCACTCCAGGAGAATGAGGTACGAGAGGCTCCTCCACCCCCGTTGGACATCGAGGGGGCTCCGGCGTACTCAGTCCGTTCCATCTTGGATTCGAGGCGTCGGATGGGGGGCCTGCAGTATCTCGTGGAGTGGGAGGGGTACGGTCCGGAGGAACGGTGCTGGGTCCCCAGGAGGGACATTCTAGATCCCTCCATGTTGAGGGACTTCCACCGGAGTCATCCGACTCGCCCTGCTCCGCGTCCTCCTGGCCATCCCCGAGGCCGGGGTCGGCGCACGGCTGGAGCCGCGCGTCAAGGGGGGGGGGGGGTACTGTCACGGAATCAGCCGAGGCTGCTCCTCCTCCTTGCTCGGGCAGGTTTCGGCGTTCGTCGTCTCCGGAGTACTAGCTGCCACCGATCTATGTTTCGGTGTTTGACTTGTTTTGTCCTGATTGTGTACACCTGTTCCCCATTATGTTGTATTGTTTCCCCTATTTAACTTTCTGTCGTGCATTGTGTGTTGTGTGTTATTGTATTCATCTTCGGCAGTGTTAGTGTGCGGGTTGTTTTCCTCCTTGTATGGAGATGGTTTTCTTCTCTGGTTACTTTCAAGTAAAGTACGTTTCCAGTAAGCTCTGTGTCCTGCGTTTGACTTTGCCTACCGCATTTCACCATCGCCTTCTGACAAAGTTCTCCCACTTAAAAAGATGAGAGAGGCCTGTAATTTTCATCATAGCTACACGTCAACTATGACAGACAAAATGAGTAAATTCCAGAAAATCACATTGTAGGATTTTTAAAGAATTTATTTGCAAATTATGGTGGAAAATAAGTATTTGGTCAATAACAAAAGTTTCTCAATACTTTGTTATATACCATTTGTTGGCAATGACACAGGTCAACCGTTTTCTGTAAGTCTTCACAAGGTTTTCACACACTGTTGCTGGTATTTTGGCCCATTCCTCCATGCAGATCTCCTCTAGAGCAGTGATGTTTTGGGGCTGTCGCTGGGCAACACGGACTTTCAACTCCCTCCAAAGATTTTCTATGGGGTTGAGATCTGGAGACTGGCTAGGCCACTCCAGGACCTTGAAATGCTTCTTACGAAGCTACTCCTTCGTTACCATATGACATTGTCCCAATCCTCTTCTGGATCATCCAAATGCACTCTAGCAAACTTCAGACAGGCCTGGACATGTACTGGCTTAAGCAGGGGGACACGTCTGGCACTGCAGGATTTGAGTCCCTGGCGGCGTAGTGTGTTACTGATGGTAGGCTTTGTTACTTTGGTCCCAGCTCTCTGCAGGTCATTCACTAGGTCCCCCCGTGTGGTTCTGGGATTTTTGCTCACCGTTCTTGTGATCATTTTGACCCCACGGGGTGAGATCTTGCGTGGAGCCCCAGATCGAGGGAGATTATCAGTGGTCTTGTATGTCTTCCATTTCCTAATAATTGCTCCCACAGTTGATTTCTTCAAACCAAGCTGCTTACCTATTGCAGATTCAGTCTTCCCAGCCTGGTGCAGGTCTACAATTTTGTTTCTGGTGTCCTTTGACAGCTCTTTGGTCTTGGCCATAGTGGAGTTTGGAGTGTGACTGTTTGATGTTGTGGACAGGTGTCTTTTATACTGATAACAAGTTCAAACAGGTGCCATTAATACAGGTAACGAGTGGAGGACAGAGGAGCCTCTTAAAGAAGAAGTTACAGGTCTGTGAGAGCCAGAAATCTTGCTTGTTTGTAGGTGACCAAATTCTTATTTTCCACCATAATTTGCAAATAAATTCATAAAAAATCCTACAATGTGATTTTCTGGATTTTTTTTCTTCTCAATTTGTTTGTCATAGTTGACGTGTACCTATGATGAAAATGACAGGCCTCTCTCTGTCACGATCGTCGGGAACAGATGAGGACCAAGGCGCAGCGTTGCAGATGAACATACTCTTTATTAGCGATACACGACCAAAACAACAAAAACGATAACGTGACAGTCAACGGTCAAACACAAACCAACTAGACCAAGATCCCACAACCACTGTGGGCAAACAGCTTGTTTAAATGTGGTTCCCAATCAGAGACAACCAGCCACAGCTGACACGCGTTGCCTCTGATTGAGAACCACACTGGCCAACATAGAAATGGAACACATAGAATACAAATGAAACTCACACCCTGGCTCAACATACAAGTGTCCCCAGAGCCAGGGCGTGACAGTACCCCCCCCTAAAGGCGCGGACTCCGACCGCGCCAACTAAATACCACAGGGGAGGGACCGGGTGGGCACTCCGCCTTGGCGGCGGATCCGGCGCCGGGCCTGATCCCCACTCCCTCTCCAACCCCCCAAAGTACCCCTGGTCCGGTCTGGCCCCGCTGGCCGGAGCTGGACTGCACACTGATGGAGCGGATTGCTCTAGCTCCGGCGTAACGCATCTGACCGGTGCCGGACCAGGCACCAGTGGAACAGGCACGGGCCGTGCCGGACTGACGACGCCCACCACTGGCTTGGTGTGGAGAACAGGCACGGGCCGTGCTGGACTGGCGACGCACACCACTGGCTTGGTGTGAGGAGCAGGAGCGGGCCGAACCGGGCTGGCGACGCGCACCATTGGCTTGGTGCGGGAAGCAGGAGCGGGCCGGACCGGGCTGACGATGCGCACCCCTGGCTTGGTGCGTGGAGCAGGAACGGACCGGACCGGGCTGACGATGCGCACCCCTGGCTTAGTGCGTGGAGCAGCAACGGGCCGGGCCGGGCTGACGATACGCACCCCTGGCTTGGTGCGTAGAGCAGGAACGGGCTGGACCGGGCTGACGACTCGCACCCCTGGCTTGGTGCGAGTGGCAGGAACAGGCCGGACCGGGCTGGCGACGCGCACCATAGGCTTGGTGCGGGGAGCAGGAACAGGCCGGGCCGGGCTGGCGAAGCGCACCATAGGCTTGGTGCGGGGAGCAGGAACAGGCCGGGCTGGGCTGGCGACGCGCACCATAGGCTTGGTGCGGAGAGCAGGAACAGGCCGGGCTGGGCTGGCGATGCGCACCGTAGGCTTGGTGCGAGGGGCAGGAACAGACCGGACCGTACTGGGGACACACACCACTGGCCCTACACCGGGATCTGGAACGGGCCGGACCGGACTGGTAACACACCCCAGTACCTCTCGCCGTGCCTCTACACCTTCCTTCCCTTCTTTGACCAGTGGCCCCCGTAACCTGGCGGCCTCCTCTGCCAACCCGCTGGACCGCTCTATCGCGGCCTCCTGCTGCCCCGACGTCCACGCCGTGAGCCCCCCCCAAAAAAAATTCTGGGGGTCTCTCTTCCCCGTGGGCCAGGCCTCTATAGTTCTCGCCCAACTCTCGCTCTTCTGCTTCCAACTCCAGCCATTCTGCTCCTCATTTGGCTTGACCCAGTCGAGACTCTTCCTCCACTGTTCCCAAGTCCACCCTCTCTGCTCTTCATTAGGCTTGACCCAGTCGAGGTTGCCACGGAGATCTGCTAGCGACTCCCCTGGCGATGGCTCCTGGACACGCTGCTTGGTCCAGTTTTGGTGGGATCTTCTGTCACGATCGTCGGGAACAGATGAGGACCAAGGCGCAGCGTTGCAGACGAACATACTCTTTATTAGCGATACACGACCAAAACAACAAAAACGATAACGTGACAGTCAACGGTCAAACACAAACCAACTAGAACAAGATCCCACAACCACTGTGGGCAAACAGCTTGTTTAAATGTGGTTCCCAATCAGAGACAACCAGCCACAGCTGACACTCGTTGCCTCTGATTGAGAACCACACTGGCCAACATAGAAATGGAACACATAGAATACAAATGAAACTCACACCCTGGCTCAACATACAAGTGTCCCCAGAGCCAGGGCATGACACTCTCATCTTTTTAAGTGGGAGAACTTGCACAATTGGTGGCTGACTAAAAACCTTTTTTCCCCACTGTAGGCTTACCCTGTATAGAAGGCTTGGCTTGACAATCTCTGAATGTCATTCAAATGTTTGGTGTTTTCTAACAGATGTCTCTTTCCATTCATCAATTGGCCGCTGGCTGCATAGTTTGGATTGATTGATTGATTTTATTTGTCAGAATAAAAAGACATATATACACAAAGATTTTAAAAAGTGACCGGTATTGCACAATAAAGTCAGGGACTTATTTCCATTGTGGTCCCTATTTAAAAAAAACTTAAATACATACATAATTACATAGATACAGACACATTACATAGATACAGACACATTACATAGATACAGACGCATTACATAGATACAGACGCATTACATAGATACAGACACATTACATAGATAGAGACAAAATAATGCTCAACCTCCAGATGAGTATGAGGGGGGAGTTTAAATTCTTCCAAGCTTGTTTGGCTGGTAGCTTATTCTTTAAATGTTTGGGGCTGCTGTTGAACCATGATTCGCAGGCATAATCAAAGTGACACTGGACTAGCGCACTAGCTAGGTTTCCATCCAATTGATGAAAGATTTCCATGCGAATATTCTAAAATCTTCATAAAAACAATATGCAATTCCTTCAGCAAAATTCGGCGCTGGACAACATAACATGGAAGATTTTAATTTACCAGACATCCATATGCATTCAGATCCGACATACGAGGGATATTGGCCAAATGAGCCACATTTACGTGTCCTTAAAAACAGCCTATAACAAATTACAAAAACACTATTCCTTGTGTTTCGATGTGTAGCGTATGGAAAACGTTATAGATTATTTTTTTAAAATTGTTTTTTAGGCTACTTTCCTAAAACAATAACTGTCCACCTCGCGGTTCAGCTGTCAGAGATTTGAGCACTACATGTATCAGGGCATTTCATTCATAGGCCTATAGGCTTAGGTGTCCACCGTATGATATTAACATTTTAATAAATATATATATATATAGCCTATATAAAGGAAGAGAAGCTTAGGCCTAACCCCAGAGAGATAGAGAGAGATAGAAATATGCCGGTGGCATGCTATGACACCGCCATGCATTTATTTATGTCAGATGGCTACTGCGTCTGCTATACAGATATAGACGTACAGAAGGAGGCTAATTCGTTAATGTTCGATCAGAATATTTTGTATATAGTTAACCATTATATTGTTAGATTATAGGATGAACTCTGGTAGGCCTGAAACAGTCTTCCTCACCTCAAGTTTAACTGTCGGATTCAGTTGGAGCGCTGGGGCACACTTCCTTCATATCAGAGGCCTGCATTAGCTAAAGCTTAATAATAGCTACATCATACCAAACCATCACAAACGTTTCTAAACGTTATTAGGGTACTATCGAAAGTATGTCAAGCCATTGTTTATAGGGAAAATATGAGCAGAAAAACAAATGTAAACGCACTACCCTCCCCTGTGCCCAATAAAAAAACACACAACCCTCCTCAAAGCAAAACATTTAAGGTTTGACAACCCTCCCCTATTTTCGACCACCCCTCCCACCCAGTACATTTGTATCTATCCCTTAGTATTGTGGAGTAACTACAATGTTGTTGATTCATTCTCAGTTTTCTCTTATCACAGACATTAAACTCTGTAACTGTTTTAAAGTCACCATTGGCCTGAGTTGTGAAATCCCTGAGTGGTTTCCTTTCTCTCCGGCAACTGAGTTAGGAAAGATGCCTGTATCTTTGTAGTGACTGGTTGTATTGATACACCATCCAAAGTGTAATTAATAACTTCACTATAGTTTTTATTTATTTACCCATCTATCAATAGGTGCCCTTCTTTGCGAGGCATTGGAAAACCTCCCTGGTCTTTGTGGATGAATCTGTGTTTGAAATTCACTGCTCGACTGAGGGACCTTACAAATAATTGTATGTGTGGTGTACAGAGATGAGGTAGTCTTTCGAAAATCATGTTAAACACTATTATTGTACACATAGTGAGTCCATGCAAATTATTATGTGACTTGTTAAGCAAATTTATACTCCTGAACTTATTTAGGCTTGCCATAACCAAGGGGTTGAATACTTATTGACTCAAGACATTTCAGCTTTTTATTTGAATTAATCTGTAAACATTTAGAAAAACATAATTCCACTTTGACATTATGGGGTATTGTGTGTAGCCCAATGAAAAAATCTGAATTTAATCCATTTAAAAAAAGTTATGGGGTGTGAATACTTTCTGAAGGCACTGTATATTTTAGAGGCAATTTATACAGAACATTTGTATAAAACCCATATAAACTCTATTTATAGGTACATTACAATATTTTAGGTTAACAACAATTATATTACACAATTTCTAATATATCACATCCCTTACTTTTATTTTCCTGCATAAGTAAAATCAGGATTATGCCTCTACTGCGATTAATTCTAATTAGACTGGTTAGGATTTCTTCTTGACCAATATGGCTGCCATTTTCACCCAATTGTGGAACTTTGAGGGTTTATGACATAGCCTTTCTAGTAATTTAATACGATCTGTATGCTCCCCCCTCGCTATGTGTGTGTGTGACTGCGTCTGTAGGCCATTGGGTTGCAATAGCAACATCAGACACACACGAAATGCCAGGTTGAACATGGTGAGATTGTTGACTCCTAAATTGCTAGTGCAGTTTTTTGCAGTTTAACAGCTAGCTAGCTACTTCACATGCTGATTTTGACTATGGTATTATTGTGTGTAGCTATGTTTGCTAGCTAGCTAGCTAGCTACACTAGCTAGCTACACTAGCTAGATAGCCAGCGTGCCAAGAGAGAGAAAGAGAGAGGGTTTTGTAGTGCAAAAATTTGTTTTTGTAGTGCAATAGATTTTCACATGTTGCTCCCAACCTTATTAGAATGACAAAATGAAACATTTGTTCACAAAAAATATTATTATAATATTTTAGCTTTATTTAACACTTTAAATCATAGGAATTAGTGGTTTTGGGTGTATTATTCATTTAAATTGAATTTAGATAAATATAATCTCTATTGTTCACTGTAAAATGTGCAATGTTGATTGTATGAATCTAATGCCCCATTTCCACTGGTGCCTAAAATTAGGGCCAAATTAGGTTCAAATTTGAGCTGGCTCAAATGGAATTTCCAAATTTGAGCTGGGTCGAGGGAAACCCGGGCCAGTGTAGCCCAGTTTCACAACTGGTGCCAGCTCAATTAGAATTCGGGCTGAATATGGAATTGATGATCGCACAGAACTTTTGGAATAATTTTGAGGCGGAAATGGAACATTACGAGAGAGGATGAATTAAATGAGGTGGCAGGTGCAGTGATGACTGCTGAGAAGAAGTTGAGTGTAGAGGGAAGTAGTGTGGTGAGGAAGGGTGGGCGTCAAGTGCAAAAACAGGGATACGTGCTCAAGTGGTTCAGAGATGGAACCTGTTGAGAGTGAGGGTGAAGTACCTACGGTGAGGACTGCCGAGTTCCGGCCTCATCCCAAGGATGATAAGGATGATTTGGGGGATTGTTGAGTTGGTGAAATTAACTCAGAGTAGACTCATGATTATTTATTGTGTTTCCTCCGCCCAGAGGGAGAGGGCGCTCCGGATTACAAGATTAGGGACAATAATTGTGACGTGCTTTGCTCTCGGAGCAGGGCACCGTTGAAAAGAGTGATAACGGGGGTGGCATTAGGTGTTGAGGAGGAGCAGTTGAAATGGAATATTCCCGGTGTCTGTGACGCCTGCCATTTGGTGAGAAGTACATCAGGTGGCGAGCGTGGGGAAACAAATACATTATCTGTCATGCTTAGTTTTGATGCAGAGTCGTCACCAGTTATCCCGTGAGAGCTTTTGTTCAGAAAATATTCCGGTGTTTTAGATGTCAAATGTATAGGCATATTGCAGCAGTGTGTAGGAGGGAGACACCTAGATGTGAGAAGTGTGCAGTAGGGCATGAGATGAAGGAATGTGTGGTATAGGTGGAGAAAGCTATGTGTGTGTTAGTTGTGGGGGTGATCATGGGGCTGGAGATCGGAGGTGTCCAGTGAGAGAAAGGCAGATTGAGGTCGGCAGGTATTTTTTTGTATTTTATTAGGATCCCCATTAGCTGTTGCGAAAGCTACTCTTCCTGGGGTCCACACAGAATATGAAATATTCCATAATACAGAACATTAATAGACAAGAACAGCTCAAGGACAGAACTACATACATTTAAAAATGGAACACATAGCCTACATATCAATACATACACACAAAATATCTAGGCCAAATAGGGGAGAGGCGTTGTGCCATGAGGTCTTTGAGCAATAAGAGATGGAAAGGAGTTAATAATAATGGCTCTATATAATACTGTATGCTTTCTTGAATTTGTTCTGGATTTGGGGACTATGAAAAGACCCCTGGTGGCATGTCTGGTGGGATAAGTGTGTGTGTCAGAGCTGTGCGTAAATTGACTATGCAAACAATTTGGAATTTTCAACACATTAAGAGATGCAGTCAGTCTCTCCTCAACTCTTAGCCAAGAGAGACTGGCATGCATAGTATTTATATTAGCCCTATGATTACAATTAAGACGTGGCGCTCTGTTCTGGGCCAGCTTCAGCTTAACTAGAGTCTGCAGGACTTGCTTTGTGGAGTCAAAAAGTGTCAAAAAAGCAGAACCTCTCTTTACTATGGACAGACCTCTCCCCATCTTTACCATTGAATCTACATGGTTTGAACATGATCTAAGGTAACACCAAGTAATTTAGTCTCCTCAACTTGTTTATATTCAGAACCACATTTCTGTAAAGCTTAGAGAGGATCTCATGTACTGTTGAAGTAATATGGCTACAGGTTCATCTGCCTCACCTAAAGCCCATTCTGGTGGGAAGCTGCTATAGACCACCAAGTGCTAACAGTCAGTATCTGGATAGCATGTGTGAAATGCTTGATAATGTATGCAATATCAACAGAGATGTATATTTTCTGGGTGATTTAAATATTGACTGGCTTTCATCAGGCTGCCCACACAAGAGAAAGCTTCAAACTTTAACTAGTGCCTGCAACCTGGTTCAGGTTATCAGTCAACCTACCACGGTAGTTACAACCAGCACAGGAATGAAATCATCAACATGTATTGATCACATCTTTAATAATGCTGCAGAAATTAGCTTTAAAGCAGTATCCAAATCCATCGGATGTAGTGATCACAATATAGTAGTCATATCTAGGAAAACCAAAGTTCCAAATGCTGGGCCTAATATAATGTATAAGAGGTCATACAATAAGTTTTGTAGTGATTCCTATGTTGTTGATGTAAAACATATGTGTTGGACTGTGGAACAACCAGATGCTGCACTTGACAAATTTATGAAATTGCTTATTCCTGTTACTAATAAGCATACACCCATTATGAAAATGACTGTACAAACTGTTAAGTCCCCATGGATTGATGAGGAATTGAAAAATGTAATGGTTGAGAGGGATGAGGCAAAAGGAATGGCAAATAAGTCTGGCTGCACAACCGATTGGCAAACGTACTGCAAATTGAGAACTCATGTGACTAAACTGAATAAAAAGAAGAAGAAACTACACTATGAAACAAGGATAAATGACATAATGAATGATAGTAAAAAGCTTTGGAGCACCTTAAATGAAATGTTGGGCAAAAAGTCAAACTCAGCTCCATCATCCTTTGAATTAGATGGCTCATTCTTCACAAACCCCACTGATATTGCCAATCACTTTAACAATTTTTTCATTGGCAAAATTAGCAAACTTAGGCATGAAGCCGACCAATCAGCCTGTTACCAACCCATAGTAAACTTTTGAACAAAATTGTGTAACCCTGGATTGTAAACTGTCATGGTCAAAACACGTTAATACAACAGTAGCTAAGATGGGGAGAAGTCTGTCCATAAAAAAGCGCTGCTCTGCCTTTTTAACAACACTATCGACAAGGCAGGTCCTACAGGCTCTAGTTGTCTCTACCGCTGCCACCACAACCTCTATTTTCTGTGACTTTCGATCCATTTCTGCAGGACAATTGACAAGCATGGTTATAAATGCTAAAAAGCCCACCTTACTGAATCACATTCTTCCCATTACTCTCTCTTGATCTCTGCCTACTAATAATAATATGCCATTTAGCAGACGCTTTTATCCAAAGCGACTTACAGTCATGTGTGCATAAATTTTTACATATGGGTGGTCCCGGGGATCAAACCCACTACCCTGGCGTTACAAGCGCCATGCTCTACCAATTGAGCTACAGAGGACCACTCACAGGAATCCTCTCAGGATCCCTCACCCTGTACCCATCTTCCTCTACCACTCTCTTCACTGCTTCAGCATACAACAATTTCTGCACTATTCTAACCCTGGCGTGGTGTGGTGTAATGTTCTCTCAAATGTTTCTTGAGCTTGATGAAAGCCAGTTAATATTGAAATCACACAGAAGATATCCCTCTTTGTTGATATCACATAAATTATCAAGCATTTCACACATATTATCGAGATACTGACTATTAGCACTTAGTGGTCTATAGCAGCTTCCCACAAGAATGGGCTTTAAGTGAGGCAGATGAACCTGTAGCCATATTACTTCAACAGTATTTAAAATGAGATCATCTTTAAGCTTTACAGGAATGTGTCTCTGAATATAGACCGCAACACCGCCCCCATAGGCATTTCTGTCTTTTCTGTAGATGTTATAACCATGTATTACTACCACTGTATCATCAGATGTATTATCTAAGTGAGTTTCAGAGATAGTCAAAATATGAATGTCATCTGTTACTAGCAAGTTATTGACTTCATGAACCTTGTTTCTTAGGCTACATATGTTAATGTGGGCTATTTTTAGCACTTTTCTGGGATGCTTGAATGTTTTTATTGCTTTACTGGGGAGCTTATCAGAAGTAGAAGTATGTTATTTATATTTGAGCTGATAGTGCAGGGTGAGCTGCACACAGTGGACTTCGTACTAAGGCACACCGCCTCAGTGCTAACAGTAAGACTCTGGTTCATAGGCATATGATTACTGCATACAATAGCTGTAGGATCAACAGAGGCATTCAGGGAAGTTAGGGGGACATCAATTAAGTTACTTACATTGTGTCTGCCAACGCCCTTGGGATAATGTACATTTGCTGCAGCATAATGACAACTCAGCGACACAATGGTAGGGATTAACTGAGCTGGTCTTGGGTCATTGATAACTCATTGTCTCAACGCAGCCTTGCGTAGGGGCATAGAGCAGTAGAGTAGAGGCACTTACAGAAGTTGCACACATGGGGAACATATTTAGTAGCCTAGGGTCCGGGAAAAATTGGCCTTTTATAAATGCATTTCATGCAATTCTACGTCATTTTACATGACTGGAGAGGTTGGCATAATCTTTTTAATACTGCACAAATGTCATGGATTCTGCCGAGGCTGCTCCTCCTCCTTGCTCGGGCAGGCTTCGGCGTTCGTTGTCACCGGAGTACTAGCTGCTACCGATCCATGTTTCTATGTTCTACTTGTTTTGTCTGATTGTTCACACCTGTTTGCCATTATGTCTTGATTTCTTCCCTATTTAACCCTCTGGCTCCCACAGTGTTTTGTGCGTGTTTGTTATTGTATGGTTGTCGTCTGGTGAGCGGGTTTGTTCCTCCCTGCGTGGAGGTTATGTTCTTTACGTTTACTACGAGTAAAGTACGTTTGCCAATGTCTATTCCACCTCAGACAGGGGAAGAGGAGTGCGCAGGATTTTGCACTGGACTTCAGGACTCTGGCTGCCAGTGCAGGATGGAATGAGAGGGCCCTGATCGACCACTACCGATGCAGCCTAAGGGAGGACGTTCGTCGGGAACTGGCCTGCAGGGACACCAACCTTAACCTGGACCAACTGGTGGACATGTCAATCAGGCTGGATAACCTGTTGGCAACCCGCGGACGTCCGGATCAGGGGCCGTCCATTCCATCCCCCAGCACCTCCGACCCTACTTCTATGGAGCTCGGAGGTGCTGCACTTAGGGAGACCGGGAGAGGGGCCGTCCCCTGCACCAACTGTGGCCGCAGAGGACACACTGCTGGTCGGTGCTGGGGAGGGTTTTCGGGAGTCGAGGCAGTAGGCAGAGCACTGGTAGACCGTCTCAGGTGAGTAGGCACCCTACTCACCCAGAGCTTCCTGTTGCACATATGTGTATTGATATTGTATTTCCAGAGTTTTCCCCTCATTCCCAGCATAAGGCGCTAGTAGATTCAGGCGCAGCTGGGAATTTTATTGATCGTCAGTTTTCACGGCGTTTAGGGATTCCTATTGTGCCTGTTGATGTGCCCTTCCTTGTACATGCATTAGATAGTCGCCCTTTAGAGTCAGGCCTGATTAGGGAGGTCACAGCTCCACTCTGGATGAGGATTCAGGAGGGTCATGAGGAGAAACTTAGTCTCTATCTGATTGATTCTCCTGCGTTTCCAATGGTGTTGGGGCTTCCCTGGTTAACTTCTCATGACCCCACGATTTCATGGCAACAGAGGGCTCTCAAGGGATGGTCAAGTCAGTGCTCTGGGAGGTGTGTAGGGGTTTCCATAGGGGCAACTACGGTGGAAAGTCCAAACCAGGTCTCCACCATGCACATTCCCCCCAAATATGCAGATTTGGCTCTAACCTTCTGTAAAAAGAGGCCGACTCAATTACCACCCCATCGACAGGGGGATTGTGCAATAAATCTCCAGGTAGGTGCTGCACTTCCCCGGAGTCACGTGTATCCTCTGTCACAGGAAGAGACGGCGGCTATGGAAACATATGTCTCCGAATCTCTGGGGCAGGGATACATTCGGCCTTCCACTTCACCTGTCTCCTCAAGTTTCTTTTTTGTGAAGAAGAAGGATGGTGGTTTACACACGTGCATTGACTACGGTAGTCTTAATCAGATCCCAGTTAAGTACAGCTATCCACTACCTCTAATTGCTAGTATGACGGAGTCATTGCATGGGGCGCGCTTCTTCACGAAATTGGATCTCAGGAGCGCGTACAACCTGGTGTTATCCGGGAGGGAGATGAGTGGAAGACGGCATTCAGTACCACATCTGGACCCTATGAGTACCTCGTCATGCCGTACGGGTTAATGAATGCTCCATCAGTCTTCCAATCATTTGTTGATGAGATTTTCAGGGACCTGCACGGATAGGGTGTAAGGGTGTATATTGATGACATTCTTATATACTCCACTACACGGGCCGAGCATGTGTCCCTGGTGTGTAAGGTGCTTGGTCGACTGTTGGAGCATGACCTGTATGTCAAGGCGGAGAATTGTTTGTTCTTTCAAGAGTCCATCTCCTTCCTAGGGCACCACCTGTCCGCGTCAGGGGTGGAAATGGAGATTGACCGCATTTCGGCCGTGCGTAATTGGCCGACTCCAACCACGGTGAAGGAGGTGCAGCGATTCTTGGGGTTTGCCAACTACTACCGGAGGTTTATCCGGGGCTTTGGTCAGGTAGCGGCTCCCATTACCTCCTTGCTGAAGGGGGGACCGGTGCGACTGCGGTGGTCAGCTGAGGCGGACAGGGCTTTTGGTCACCTGAAGGACCTGTTTACCTCGGCTCCAGTGCTGGCTCATCCGGATCCCTCCTTGGCCTTCACAGTTGAGGTGGACGCGTCCGAGGCTGGGATAGAAGCTGTACTGTCTCAGCGCTCAGGTACGCCACCAAAACTCTGCCCCTGTGCTTTCTTTTCGAAGAAGCTCAGCCCGGCGGAGCGCAACTATGATGTGGGGGAGCAGGAGCTGTTAGCTGTGGTTAAAGCTCTGAAAGTGTGAAGGCATTGGCTTGAGGTGGCTAAACACCCTTTTCTCATTTTGACTGACCACCGCAATCTGGAGTACATCCAGGCGGCGAGGAGATTGAACCCTCGCCAGGCAAGGTGGGCCATGTTTTTCACCCGTTTTGTTTTCACCCTTTCTTACAGGCCAGGTTCCCAGAACGCTAAGGCAGATGCTCTGTCCCGACTGTCTGACATGGAGGAGAGGTCCATGGAGCCCACTCCCATACTTCCGGCGTCGTGTCTGGTGGCACCGGTGGTATGGGAGGTTGACGCGGACATCGAGCGGGCGTTGCGTACCGAGCCTATTCCCCCCCAGTGTCCAGAGGGTCTTATGTACGTGCCGCTAGAGGTCCGCGATCGGTTGATCTATTGGGCTCACACGTCACCCTCCTCTGGTCATCCTGGCATCGGTCGGACAGTGCACTGTCTTAGTGGGAAGTACTGGTGGCCCACTTTAGCCAAGGATGTGAGGGTTTATGTTTCCTCCTGCTCGGTGTGCGCCCAGTGTAAGGCCCCTAGACACCTGCCCAAAGGGAAATTACAACCCCTACCCATTCCACAACGACCGTTGTCCCACCTATCGGTGGATTTCGTTACAGATCTTCCCCCGTCACAAGGGAACACCACAATCCTGGTCGTTGTGGATCGGTTTTCTAAGTCCTGCCGTCTCATTCCTATGCCCGGTCTCCCTACGGCCCTACAGACTGCGGAGGCTCTATTTACACACGTCTTCCGGCACTACGGGGTACCTGAGGATATAGTGTCTGATTGGGGTTCCCAGTTCACCTCACGGGTCTGGAGGGCATTCATGGAACGTCTGGGGATCTCGTCAGCCTGACCTCAGGGTTTCACCCCGAGAGTAATGGGCAGGTGGAGAGAGTAAACCAGGATGTGGGTAGGTTTCTGCGGTCTTATTGCCAGGACCGGCGGGGGGAGTGGTCAGTGTTCATTCCCTGGGCAGAGATGGCCCAAAACTCCCTCCGCCACTCCTCCACTAACCTTTCTCCATTCCAGTGTGTATTGGGTTATCAGCCGGTCCTGGCACCATGGCATCAGAGCCAGATCGAGGCACCTGCGGTGGACGAATGGTTTCGGCGCTCGGAGGAGACCTGGAACGCTGCCCATGTACGCCTGCAGCGGGCAATCAGGTGACAAAAGGCGAGCGCCGACCGCCACCGCAGTGAGGCCCCGGTGTATGCACTGGGGGATCGGGTCTGGCTCTCGACCCGAAACCTGCCCCTGCCCTGCCGGAAGCTGGGTCGGCGGTTAGTGGGGCCATTTAAAGTCCTGAGGAGATTGAACGAGGTATGTTATAGGTTACAGCTTCCTCCTGAGTATCTTATTAACCCCTCGTTCCATGTGTCTCTCCTCAGGCCGGTGGTAGCTGGTCCACTCCAGGAGTCTGAGATACAGGAGGTTCCTCCACCCCCACTGGACATCGAGGGGGCACCGGCGTACTCGGTCCGTTCCATCCTGGATTCGAGGCGTCGGGTGGGGGGCCTGCAGTATCTCATGGAGTGGGAGGGGTACGGTCCGGAGGAACGGTGCTGGGTCCCTAGGAGGGACATCCTCGATCCCTCCATGTTGAGGGATTTCCACCGTAGTCATCCGACTCGCCCCGCGCCTCGTCCTCCTGGCCGTCCCCGAGGCCGGTGTCGGCGCACGGCTGGGACCGTGCGTCAAGGAGGGGGTACTGTCATGGATTCTGCCGAGGCTGCTCCTCCTCCTTGCTCTGGCAGGCTTCGGCGTTCATCGTCACCGGAGTACTAGCTGCTACTGATCCATGTTTCTATGTTCTACTTGTTTTGTCGGATTGTTCACACCTGTTTCCCATTATGTCTTGATTTCTTCCCTATTTAACCCTCTGGCTCCCACTGTGTTTTGTGCGTGTTTGTTATTGTATGGTTGTCGTCTGGTGAGCTGGTTTGTTCCTCCCTGCGTGGAGGTTATGTTCTTTACATTTACTACGAGTAAAGTACGTTTTCGATTAGCTCTGTGTCCTGCGCCTGACTTCGTCCTACCGCATCACACTGACAGCCTGACAACAAAGTAATTGTAATAACAGGCTACTTTGACACTGACAAACTGAGATCAATAAATAAAATAAAAATGACCTTATCTTAAAATCCATGAATAGTCTAGGCCTAGATGTATGGAGACATATTGTAGGCTACAATATGAGGAGGAAATTATAGTCCTAAAAATGCTTTCCCGTTTCACTGACTCACCCAATGATGTGCAGCTCATTCCTTTGTGATAGCCCACGTGGCGCTCATGCCAAAAGCCTATCTCTCTCTTGTTTTACTTTGTAAAACAATATATGGAAGTTGATCAAATATTTTGGTAGCCTACAGAAGACAGATTAGTCTTCTCTTTTCAGCAGGAGCCATTTGCTTTCCAAACTGTGTTTTCCCGCTAATGTATTTGAAATATTGCGAAAGGCCTGTTGTCTGCATGCTGTTTGTTTACTGACAGATTTGTTGGGCTACATCCACAGCTAGGCTATTTAAAACAAAGAAGCTATTGGTCCTCTGTGGCTAAATGATAGGCCTTCTCATGGTGTAGTAGGCTATTCTGAATTATTTCATTTATTTTTGAAAAGACAGCAATGATTCTATAACTTTGGCTAATTTATTTGTATTTATCAGGGGTGCTGCAGCTCCACCGGAACCCTTCGCAGGGCTATGATTCTATTAGGAAATAAATGATGAAGTGCAACTCTGGAGAGATGATAGTTGCAGGCTCATGTCTATCAGAGCAGGGAGAGGGAGAGAGATCATAGAAAATGAATCTCATTCTAGTTCTGTGAAAGATACAGGCGCGCTTCTCAAACAACGACTGCACGCGTTGGTCTCAAACATACTGTTCCAGTAGGATCCGGCTCAAATTAAGCACTGGTTATGGGTAAAAGTCCACAATGAAACTGACATTAAATGTGGAGAATGATACATTTGCATCTGTTGGCCATAAATTAACCTATTAATTGCTATGCCTATGTAGGCTACTGTAGCCTACCATTTAATACAATAAATACGTTGAAATGATAATATCAATGGAGTCATTGAAAATCAATTTGTGCCACTTGTGTAGCCTACCTGGAGCTGGCAAACAGATTTAATAAATAGCCTATAACTTCAGTTTATTGTTGTTGTAGCCTTGTGTTATTATACAATTATTAATGGACATGTTTAGTTAATGAAATTGGAAGTTATCAATTGTGATCATAGTCACAATTCTATCGCAATTGCCGATCAGCTGTTGTTAGAATGCATTAGATTGAAGGCAACAGTCAGTCAGATTAGGCTACAGGTAAATAAAACACTGGCTGTTGTTGACAAGCACATGCCTATTCAGTTCCTATCTATATTTTTACATTTGATTCAGTGATTGAAAGTATGACCCCAGGAAGCACTTCTTACCTCGAAATTGCCACTCTGTTCATGTTGAATAAATTAGTCTATCATTTTGAACTAAGCAAACTGCTAAATCGTTCATTTTACATCTTGCCTAGGCTACTGTAGGCTGTCTGAAATTAGATATAGGCCTATCAGGTTACCTGCATCTAGCTAACCAAACCATGACAAAGTTGAATTACAATCATAAACCCAGGTTTGAGTCAGTAGACCTAGCCTATTCCTGTTGAATGACAAGTCAATCTCCCTAATAGGCCATTTATAACGGTTTGTAGTCTTAACATCTGGCACATAATAACGGCACAATTGCCAGAAAATAGCCTAACATTCGTTTTTGAAGTTTAATAAGGGCTAATTATTTTTTCTGTTGATACAGTTCAAATTCCTTTATTAGTTACATTAGCTCGCAATATTTATTATGTTGATGGAAAACCACATTTTGCTTCTTAATTTGTTAGAAGTTAAGTCAAGATTCCTTCTTAATTCGCTCAATAACGTTATGGAAAAAGGGTTTATTAGCTAAATGTGGCAACTCCTCTCTTGCTGGGAAGAAAAACATGTTGGTCTAGTTTTCAGGCCTTGTGGGTGGGTTTTGAGTAGTCATTGGGCTAGACATTTTAGCTTGACCTAGCAACCCTGGCTGGCATAGTGTTTAGTTCATTACCAAGTGCAGCTCGCAAGCTACTGCTGTGAACACAGATTTCTGTTTTGGACATTATTTCCTTTCTGACTAATTTATTCATCACTGTGCATGAATACCAGAACTGTAATTTCCAGAAATGTAACTGTATTCGGAAAGTCTTCAGACCACTTTACTCTTTCCACATTTTGTTACGTTACAGCCTTATTCTAAAATTGATTAAATTGTTTCCCTCATCAATCTACACACAAAATCCCATAATGACAAAGCAAAAAAAGTTTTTTATTAATTTTTGTACAAAAACAAACAAAAAAACTACGGAAATATTGCATTTACATAAGTATTCAGACCCTTTACTCAGTACTTTGTCTTCTTGGGTATAACGCTACAAGCTTAGCACACCTGTATTTGGGGAGTTTGTCACATTCTTCTCTGCAGATCGGCTCAAGCTCTGTCAGGTTGGATGCACAGCTATTTTCAGGTCTCTCCAGAGATGTTCGATTGGATTCAAGTCCGGGCTCTGGCTGGGCCACTCAAGGACATTCAGAGACTTGTCCCAAAGCCACTCCTGCGTATTCTTGGCTGTGTGCTTAGGGCAACTGTCCTGTTGGAAGGTGAACCTTCGCCCCCAGTCTGAGGTCCTGAGCACTCTGGAGCAGGTTTTCATCAAGGATCTCTCTGTACTTTGCTCTGTTAATCTTTCCCTCAATCCTGACTAGTGTCCCAGTACCTGCAGCTGAAAAACATCCACACAGCATGATGCTGCCACAACCATGCTTCACCGTGGGGATGATGCCAGGTTTCCTCCAGACGTGACGCTTGGCATTTAGGCCAAATAGTTCAATCTTGGTTTCATCAGACCAGAGAATCTTGTTTCTCATGGTCTTAGAGTCTTTAGGTGTCTTTTGGCAAACTCCAAGTGGGCTGTCATGTGCCTTTTACTGAGGAGTGGCTTCCGCTTGGCCACTCTACAATAAAGGCCTGATTGGTGGAGTGCTGCAGAGATCATTATTACAGAATGAAGTATCTTGTTTTTATGCTATCTATCTAACATTATTAGCTACATTTGTGACATCTTGTATTTATAACTGGACAGTTAATTGGATAATCACAGCTGAGTGACGTGGCACAGAATTGCAAACATTGTTCATCTCCAATCAACATTAAATAACCCTAAACTGAGGAACTGTCCCTCTCACTTCTCTCTAATAGGAATACAATCTCCATAACTTCACCTACTCAATCAGTGTAGAAATTCCAGAGGCATCACCCTCTAATTCAGTATTGATTGATATAATTATTTATGCATGTAATTAATTATGTTGCTAGATGTTTAAATTCACTTTTCCTATCTTTATTTTGCGTTTTGTTTTCGGTTGTGGCCTGGCATATCCAGGTAACTGCCAAAATAAAGGAAACACCGGCATTAAGTGTCTTAATAGAGCATTGGGCCACCACGAGTCAGAACAGCTTCAATGCACCTTGGCATTTGTGATTGACATATATTATTATCACAATCAATAAAAGACATTAGTCTTTTTGTCTGTGTCTTTTTACCTTTTCACTGCCGCCCTGTGTTGTCTTTGACTTGAACTCCATCTTGCACTTGAATACATCTTCTCCCTCTCAGATAAGTCTTTTAAATGTACCTTTCCTTCTTCCTTTCTTATAGCATTTTTCCCCCTTATTTTTAAAAAAATATTCTTGATATCACACAGGGGCAGTTTTTATCCTCTCTGTCTTTCTGCTGTACTTTTCGGCATGTTGGCACATAATGGATGTCCCTGTCCTTCAATAACTCTACAAATAATCCAAAATAGAAATTATTATCTATGATTTTAATGAACACTGCTCAAAAAAATAAAGGGAACACATAAACAACACAATGTAACTCCAAGTCAATCACACTTCTGTGAAATCAAACTGTCCACTTAGGAAGCAACACTGATTGACAATAAATTTCACATGCTGTTGTGCAAATGGAATAGACAACAGGTGGAAATTATAGGCAATTAGCAAGACACCCCCAATAAAGGACTGGTTTTGCATGTGGTGACCACAGACCACTTCTCAGTTCCTATGCTTCCTGGATGATGTTTTGGTCACTTTTGAATGCTGGCGGTGCTTTCACTCTAGTGGTAGCATGAGACGGAGTCTACAAACCACACAAGTGGCTCAGGAAGTGCAGCTCATCCAGGATGGCACATCAATGCGAGCTGTGGCAAGAAGGTTTGCTGTGTCTGTCAGCGTAGTGTCCAGAGCATGGAGGCGCTACCAGGAGACAGGCCAGTACATCAGGAGACGTGGAGGAGGCCGTAGGAGGGCAACAACCCAGCAGCAGGACTGCTACCTCCGCCTTTGTGCAAGGAGGAGGAGGAGGAGCACTGCCAGAGCCCTGCAAAATGACCTCCAGCAGGCCACAAATGTGCATGTGTCTGCTCAAACGGTCAGAAACAGACTCCATGAGGGTGGTATGAGGGCCCGACGTCCACAGGTGGGGGTTGTGCTTACAGCCCAACACCGTGCAGGACGTTTGGCATTTGCCAGAGAACACCAAGATTGGCAAATTCACCACTGGCGCCCTGTGCTCTTCACAGATGAAAGCAGGTTCACACTGAGCACGTGACAGACGTGACAGACGCCGTGGAGAACGTTCTACTGCCTGCAACATCCTCCAGCATGACCAGTTTGGCGGTGGGTCAGTCATGGTGTGGGGTGGCATTTCTTTGGGGGGCCGCACAGCCCTCCATGTGCTCGCCAGAGGTAGCCTGACTGCCATTAGGTACCGAGATGAGATCCTTAGACCCCTTGTGAGACCATATGCTGGTGTGGTTGGCCCTGGGTTCCTCCTAATGTAAGACAATGCTAGACCTCATGTGGCTGGAGTGTGTCAGCAGTTCCTGCAAGAGGAAGGCATTGATGCTATGGACTGGCCCGCCCGTTCCCCAGACCTGAATCCAATTGAGCACATCTGGGACATCATGTCTCGCTCCATCCACCAACGCCACGTTGCACCACAGACTGTCCAGGAGTTGGCGGATGCTTTAGTCCAGGTCTGGGAGGAGATCCCTCAGGAGACCATCCGCCACCTCATCAGGAGCATGTCCAGGCATTGTAGGGAGGTCATACAGGCACGTGGAGGCCACTCACACTACTGAGCCTCATTTTGACTTGTTTTAAGGACATTACATCAAAGTTGGATCAGCCTGTAGTGTGGTTTTCCACTTTAATTTTGAGGGTGACTCCAAATCCAGACCTCCATGGGTTGATAAATTTGATTTCCATTGATAATTTTTGTGTGATTTTGTTGTCAGCACATTCAACTATGTAAAGAAAAATGTATTTAATAAGATTATTTCATTCATTCAGATCTAGGATGTGTTATTTTAGTGTTCCCATTATTTTTTTGAGCAGTGTAGATCATCATATCAGATGTTTTTTTTCAATCAATGTAAAGAAAAACAGTGTCAATAGACTTATTTTGGACTTTAATGAATCCCAATGGCTAGAATATCCTTTGGACAAATGTATATCCCCCAAAAAACATTTTAGTTTAGTCCCAAAACCAAACTTTATATATTTAAAGTATTATATGTTTGGTATTGGCACTTCTTAGAAATACATGAAGATTTACTAACTTGTTCACTGATTTTCTTAAAATGGGGGTTGCAATCCCATTTTCTGATTTTAATTGTAGGGGTGTGGCTTAAGGCACATTCATTCTACAGTCTTTTAATGTGTGTGTTTTGGTAGTGACATCAAAAGTGGGGCCAACATTTTTCAGAGGAAAATTCATTAGATCAGTATCTTTCAATTTAATAATAGAACAACTCAGATGGAGACCTGCATAGACACAGGTGTAAACACACCCAATCACAGACGCAATGCCATGCAAAGCAGACTCACTCTTTTTCCAGTAGCTGCTTAACAGTGAGGTAGGCCCAAAGCCTCTGGATGTGGTTGTCAGACCTGGTTTCAATGGGCTCCTTCGTTGGTATTGTCTCAGAGTACATCACCTTATTGTTTTTCTGAAATAATCAAGGCATCCTTACATCACAATACTAAACATTGACTTTATTGTATATTTTTATATTTGGCTGAACTATCTCTAAAGTACTCATATGGGGTGATATTTTTATCAACATTTAATTTTGTATTGCTTTCAAAATCAAAAGAACATACAAAACAAGGAACAGGACAGTGTGGAGTGATCTGACCTAAGAACTGGTGAAGGAGGCTGAGTAGAGGTGACCTCACCGATATGGCTATGACCTCTGCAGTGAACGTCTCTATGTTGTTGTCGGTGATCTGACCAGACACCACGATCTCGGAGCCGTTGTAGTACTGGCTGAAGTTGGTCTGGGTCAGGTTAGCCCCACCCACATACACCATCTGCACATCCGTCAATAAGGGTGTGGCCACCTCTTCATAAAAGCCCTGTCAATCATACAGTACAGTCAGCCTAGCGGTTAAGAGCGTTGGGCCAGTAACCGAGTTGCTGGTTCGAATCCCAGATCCAACTAGGTGAAAAATCTGTCAATGTGCCCTTGAGTAAGGCACTTAACCCTAATTGCTCCTGTAAATCACTCTGGATAAGAGCGTCTGCTAAATGACTAAAATGTAAATGTCCAGAGGCCATTAGTCCCGGCCCCTGCTCCCCCTAGTTTCTTCTCACATAATCTACATTTAGGAAATCAGGAAACAACAGTCAAGCCTACTTCGATGAGATACGATCTTATTGCACTTTAAAGGTTGGTTCGGCCCTTTAATATTCCAGATAATTAATTTGGGACCATTTTTGATCATTAGTGTTTTATGAATTTTGTTGAGAAACAGTATGTAAGAAATAATTCAAATCCATTGTAGTGCAGGGACTGTAGTGTGAATACACTGCCTCACAGTGTGTGTTCCCTTACCTGCAGCTGCAGAGCAGCATCAGAGTCCTCATATATTCTGCGTCCCACACCGCTGTTCTCCAGTGCCATCTTCTCCAGGAACTCAAAGTTGACATCCATTCCAAAGCCGAGACAGTAGAGAGGGAATTTCTTACCAATGGCTTCCTTTACATTCTTGTGGATCTTTTCCAGGTTGGTCTCACCTGAGGAAAGTGAGATTGCCTTTCATTTTGTGTGTGTGTGTGTGTGTGTGTGTGTGTGTGTGTGTGTGTGTGTGTGTGTCCGTGTGTGTGTGTGTGTGTGTGTGTGTACCTGTGGTTGGGTCTCCATCAGTGAGTAGTATGAGGAGGGAGGCTGAGCCCTCTCGTGGGTTTCGTTTCAGCATGGCTGTGCCCTCCAACACAGCAGCATTGATGTCGGTGGCTAAGAAGAGAAGAGAGAGGACAATACATCTATGTATTAGCTCCTGTTGTCACTGACTAAACTATTGTTCATATCTCCCATTATTTTACCCTTTTGTGCACTTTGGTTGTATTTACACAGCCACCCTAAGAACCCAAATGTGATTTTCTTTATATATCCAATGTTTTTTGTTTACTGTCCATTTCTAGTAACTCTTCCTTTAAACATTTTGGGGTGGTTTACATTTGACATTTTAGTCATATAGCAGACGCTCTTATCCAGAGCGACTTACAGTTAGTGAGTGCATACATTTTCATACTGGCCCCCCGTGGGAAACTAACCCACAACCCAGGCGTTGCAAGCGCCATGCTCTACCAACTGAGCTACAGGGTCATGGTAACGGCAGGTCATGTACAAAAAACCCACTTCAGTTTAAAAAAATCTGATCTGAGCGTCTACATATGCAGTTGGTATAAATCAGAAGTTAAATGATGAGATTCCATGTGGTTATCGCTGTTTACACATTAGGAAAAATGAATTGGATCTGAATTGGGCTGCCTGTGTAAACACAGCTTTTAAGACTTACAAAATTGTGATACACTGTAATTGTACTGTTGGCTTTGGAAACCATTGAAAATAGGGAAGAGGATCAAGTAAGTAAATAATAATTGTACCTCCTCTGTCGTGAATGTGTCGTGCAAAGCTCTTGGCAGCCTCCAGGTTTTCCTGGTTGGCCGGCAGCAGCTCCTTCTTCCAGGTAGACACAGAGTAGTCGAAGGTGATTAGGCCAAAGTGGTCATCATCTGCCAGGTCTACCAGGATCTTCAACAAGGCCTCACGGGTCTGACAGATCACAGTGCATCAAAATGCAATCAACCAATCAATAAATATTAATTGTCCCATGCATTGAATAGGAATATGTGGTGTATGTGTACATTGATAAATCGTTAAGCCTTTAGCGTCATTACAGCAGGCAACACAACAAACCTGCTCCATTTTCCTGCCATGCATAGAGCCACTCCGATCGATGATGAAGACTACATTCTTTGGTATGCGTGGTAGGTCACTGGGAGCAAAGTGATGGACAAAATACCCTTTTGACTCCTGAAGAGAGAATCAGAGATGGTGATGAAAAGACAGGGTAGAGATGAAGAAATGAATGACAGGAAGAGGGTGGAAGAAGTGTACCTTGAGATCTCCCATGGACGTGTTCCTGTAGACGTCATAGACAATGACCAGGTCTCCGTTCAGGCCCTGCTCTCCACAGCTGTCACACTGGCTCTGCTGCTCCTTGCTGGGGTAGAAATGTACCCAGGCCTGGGGAGAGGGTGGTAGTTTAGGCTTCTGCTTTTAAAAACACAGCCTGCTTTAGCTTAACTCTTTAGCATGAGCTAATTCTTATTAGCGTTAACATGCACAGAGATGTGAAAATCACTGTGGTGCGAAGAATAGGTTTTGAAATTATGCATGTCTACATCTTTTTGAAGGTGGCAATCCCCCTAGCTCATCTTAATGTGATATATGTTATGTATTGACTGGACTTGCCATTTTGGTTAGCTCTACATGACTCTGGTGTGGACATTACCTCACTAGAAGCGTGTGTTTTGGTGATGGCATTAGCCAGTGCTTTGGTGCTCAGCCCTCCTTTTATGTCCAGGAAGTTAATGCCTGGTCGCTCATTGATGTACACGTCAATCTGGCCATAAGGAAGAGAAAGAAAACATAACATCAACATCAAACATACATTCACTAGGAGGAGTATTACTGTTCCTGAATACATGCCTTGATCATGCTAATAACTCATCAATCAATGTGTGCTCTCTCTCTCTCTCTCTCTCTCTCTCTCTCTCTCTCTCTCTCTCTCTCTCTCTCTCTCTCTCTCTCACCTTGAAGTCAGCGACAGGCTGCATGGGTCGAGCATGGATCAGCAGTTCGTACTTGCCCAGTCGGCGTTTCAGCAGCTCCTCATAGGTCAGTTCAAAGGTCACCTTACTGAGCGCGGCCACAGTCACAGACGTCTTAAACTCCTCAAGGGTCCTCCCCACAGAACTGAGGAGACATAAAGAGACAGTCTAGCAAACATCAACACACACATATTGTAGATACTAGACAGAGATACACAGAGGGGCCCCTTCGGCAGCGGAGAGAAAAATCTGCAGTTTTAAAGTTCATTTCGTGAAATTCTACACATTTTTTCCATTGGTCTTAAAGAAAATGTTGCAGTTTTAAATCACATTTTCTGTAATGTCACACATTTTGCCATGGGGCTAAGAGAACATTTTGCTGTTTTAAAATGAATGTCCTGCAATTCTACACATTTTTACGATGGGGTAGAGAGATTGTCATTTTAAAGCTAATTTCCAACAATTCTGCACATGTTGCCATGACTTATGCCATGTTCATATAATATTTGAGTTAGAGAGACTAACAAAATAAATGGGGGACCCTGGAGGTCAGGGCTCCTGGAGATCAAGGCCCCTAGGCACATGCCCTGCGTGCCTGGTCAGAAATTTGGCCATGATTACAGTCCTACAAGGTTTAGATTGCTAGGTTAGTTTGTCTAGCCAGTAATCTAAAACATTTGAGCTGACATGAGGGGTATACTACAAAGCAGCATCAATGAGTTAGCCAGTTAACTTTGCTAAACAACCACAAATAACTATTCATTTTCTGGTTCATTAAGCAAGCTAAACTTATATATGTGTTTTTCGTTGTTCGGTCACTTAGAACATGCCAATTTCAAGCTTATCTAAACGGTATATACAGTACCAGTCAAAAGTTTGGACACACCTACTCATTCAAGGGGTTTTCTTTACTTTGACTATTTTCTACATTGTAGAATAATAGTGAAGAGATCAAAACTATGAAATAACACATATGGAATCATGTAGCAACCAAAAAAGTGTTAAACAAATCAAAATATATTTTATTTTTGAGATTCTTCAAATAGCCACCCTTGCCTTGATGACAGCTTTGCACACTCCTGGCATTCTCTCAACCAGCTTCACCTGGAATGCTTTTCCAACAGTCTTGAAGGAGTTCCCACATATGCTAAACACTTGTTGGCTGCTTTTCCTTCACTCTGCCGTCCGACTCATCCCAAACCATCTCAATTGGGTTGAGGTCGGGGGATTGTGGAGGCCAGGTCATCTGATGCAGCACTCCATCACTCTCTTTCTTGGTAAAATAGCCCTTACACAGCCTGGAGGTGTGTTGGGTCATTGTCCTGTTGAAAACCAAATGATAGTCCCACTAAGCCCAAACCAGATGGGATGGCGTATGACTGCAGAATGCTGTGGTAGCCATGCTGGTTAGTGTGCCTTGAATTCTAAATAAATCACAGACAGTGTCACCAGCAAAGCACCCCCACACCATAACACCTCCTCCTCCATGCTTTACAGTGGGAACCACACATGCGGAGATCATCCTTTCACCCACACCTTGTCTCATAAAGCCATGTCGGTTGGAACCAAAAATCTCCAATTTGGACTCCAGACCAAAGGACACATTTCCACCGGTCTGATGTCCATTGCTCGTGTTTCTTGGCCCAAGCAAGTCTCTTCTTCTTATTGGTGTCCTTTAGTAGTGGTTTCTTTGCAGCAATTCGATCATGAAGGCCTGATTCACACAGTCTCCTCTGAACAGTTGATGTTGAGATGTGTCTGTTACTTGAACTCTGTGAAGCATTTATTTGGGCTGCAATTTCTGAGACTGGTAACTCTAATGAACTTATCCTCTGCATCAGAGGTAACTCTGGGTCTTCCATTCCTGTGGCGGTCCTCATGAGAGCCACTTTCATCATAGTGCTTGAAGGTTTTTGCAACTGCACTTGAAGAAACTTTCAAAGTTCTTGACATTTGCCATATTGACCGACCTTCATGTCTTAAAGTAATAATGGACTGTTGTTTCTCTTTGCTTATTTGAGCTGTTCTTGCCATAATATGGACTTGGTCTTTTACCAAATAGGGCTATCTTCTGTATACCCCCCTACCTTGTCACAACACAACTGATTGGCTCAAACGCATTAAGAAGGAAAGACATTCCACACATTAACTTTTAAGAAGGCACACCTGTTAATTGAAATGCATTCCAGATTACTACCTCCTGAAGCTGGTTGAGAGAATGCCAAGAGTGTAAAAAAGCTGTCATCAAGGCAAAGGGTGGCTATTTGAAGAATCTCAAATATAAAATAGATTTTGATTTGTTTAACACTTTGTTGGTTACTACATGATTCCATATGTGTTATTTTATAGTTTTGATGTCTTCACTATTATTCTACAATGTAAAAAATAGTAAAAACAAAGAAAACCCCTTGAATGAGTAGGTGTGTCCAAACTTTTGACTGGTAGTGTATATATATTTCAGATTATTTAGGTAAATTAGCTGGCTAACTCATTGATCCTGCTTTGTAGTATACCCCTATCAGTGATGTAGTGGTCAAAAAGATAGGTGGGTAAACTCTGATTGCCGGTCGCAGCGAAAAAAGTAACGCTCCCTATACTTTCAACGCATTTTTCCTCAAAAGGTGGGTAAACTGTGTTTACTTGCATTTTCCCTCCACTACACCACTGACCCCTATGGGTAATTGAGTGACTATCAGTGACTTACATAACATTAGGAAAACTGCTGATGCACTACCATTTTTTAAAATTGAACCTCGTGTATTATACTATTCTAACTCTCAACAGCAGGTTGAGACCCTGACTGAGTTCCACAAACAAGTGGCCGCTTATGTCGCTTATTGGCTAGGGCCGGCCCTGCACACACACCCACACACACCTGACTATGCCAGCACTTTGGCCACGAGACACTGCCTGAGTGTACTGCTGCTGAGCCTCCTCCTTCTGTTTCACAACCCCATCATACGTCTGCCCATCAATGGTCCTGAGGAAGAGAGAGTTTTTTTTTACAGGTCTATATGCAAACATTTGTGTAAGCTATATGTAAGACAGTAGAGATATCTGCTCAATAGGGATACATTCATGTCGACCCACATTTTGAATGTACTGATGAAGGCCGTCTTGGGAATTTTGACATGGAATTCTATTTCCTGTGACTGGTCGATCCGATTGGCCACTCGGCTGGTGATGGTAGTGGTTGCATAGCGACTGGTCACTGTGGAGTTGACGTGAAAGCTGTAGATGTCCCAGTCCCTGTTCTATAAATGATCAGGAAACACCATCAACACTGTTTACTATCAGACAACATTTTAACACAGATGCAGTCTGTTAGCATTTCATGATTGCATTAATAATTTTTGCATCCCAATTTAGCATTTAAGAGTTGCATTTTAGAATTAGCTCTGATAACCCTCCATAATACTGTGGCATGCTGAGGCATGACCTGCCCAGAAAACAAGACTGCATCTGTACACACACACACACACACACACACACACACACACACACACACACACACACACACACACACACACACACACACACACACACACACACACACACACACACACACACACACACACACACACACACTCACTCACTCACTCACTCACTCACTCACTCACTCACTCACTCACTCACTCACTCACTCACTCACTCAGTCACACACACACCACACACACACACAAGCAATCGCACCATTTACGCATAAATAATAACCAGTAGAATTCAAGATGAGTATATCTGAAACCTGATTGGGCTCGGACTGGTTACACCTACTTTTTGTTTGACTGCCCTCTAGACTAATGCACTCTCAAAAGAGAAAAAAGCGTTGACCAGTTGGTCCTTCACCCCAGACGTGATATGATAACATGTTGCTGTTTGTCTAGCAAGGAGACATGGTGTTTGGGGCTGATAGGACAGCGAAGGGAAACAGCAACCAGGACTATAGCTCAATCTAACCCCTAACACTTTAGGGGATCTTGAGCTCGCCTACCTTGTGCTCTCTGCGCATCCAAAACTGTGGTCAAAAGACACATCTGAGCGGATGTAACCACGCACACACAAAGTCACAATCACATGCATGCTAATCAACACAACAAAACACATTATCATCCCTGACAGAGTGCCCTCCCCCTTCTGACCCTTTGTCCTGTGTGTGACCCTACCTTATTGTTCGGTGCCGTGGTAACGCAGGCCAGTAGCAGTCCAATGAGGCCGACTCGTACTGTGACTCCCTCCATCATGACCTCAGCAGAAATGAAGCCCCATAAAACACACACAGCCTTTTAAAGAGGAGCACAGTGTGCTATTGGCCAGCAACCAGAGAGCAGGGGCGTCATTTCAGCTAAACCTAGGGTATGGCAAAGTGATTGAGGGACGTTAGAGATAGTTTCGCGAGCCAATGCTAACTAGCATTATCCAAAGCGACTTACAGTCATGCGTGCATACATTTTTTTTTGTGTATGGGTGGTCCCGGGGATCAAACCCACTACCTTGGCGTTACAAGCGCCGTGCTCTACCAGCTGAGCTACAGAGGACCTTATTCTAAAATTCTAAAATTGATTAAATTAATTGTTTTTCTCATCAATCTACAAACAATACCCCCTAATGACAAAGCAAAATCAGATTTGTAGATATGTTTGCAAATGTATTACAAATATGAAAAAGAAATACCTTATTTACATAAGTATTCAGACCATTTGCTATGAGACTCGAAATTGAGCTCAGGTGCATCCTGTTTCCATTGATCATCCTTGAGATGTTTCTACAACTTTATTGGAGTCCACCTGTGGTAAATTCAATTGATTGGACATGATTTGGAAAGGCACACACCGGTCTATATAAGGTCCCACAGTTGACAGTGCATGTCAGAGCAAAAAACAAGCCATGAAGTTGAAGGAATTGTCCATAGAGCTCAGAGACAGGATTGTGGCGCAGTGGTCTCCCGAGTGGTGCAGTGGTCTAAGGCACTGCATCGCAGTGCTAGCTGTGCCACTAGAGATTCTGGTTCAAATCCAGGCTCTGTCGTAGCCGGACGTGACCGGGAGACCCATGGGGCGGCGCACAATTGGCCCAGCGTCGTCCAGGGTAGGGGAGGGAATGGCCGGCAGGGATGTAGCTCAGTTGGTAGAGCATGGTGTTTGCAACGCCAGGGTTGTGGGTTCGATTCCCACGGGGGGCCAGTATAAAAAAATGTATGCACTCACTAACTGTAAGTCGCTCTGGATAAGAGCGTCTGCTAAATGACTAAAATGTAAATGTGTCGAGGCACAGATCTGGGGAAGGGTACAAGAACATTTCTGCAGCATTGAAGGTCCCCAAGAACACAGTGGCCTCCATCATTCTTAAATGGAAGAAGTTTGGAACCACCAAGACTCTTCCTAGAGCTGGCTGCTCAGCCAAACTGAAGAATTGGGGGAGAAGGGCCTTGGTCAGGGAGGTGACCAAGAACCCAATGACAGAGCTCCAGAGTTCCTCTGTGGAGATGGGAGAACCTTCCAGAATGACAACCATCTCTGCAGCACTCCACTAGTCAGGCCTTTATGGTAGAGTGACCAGACGGAAGCCACTCCTCAGTAAAATGCACAAGACACCCCGCTTGGAGTTTGCCAAAAGGCACCTAAAGGACTCTCAGACCATGAGAAACAAGATTCTCTGGTCTGATGAAACAAAGATTGAACTCTGTGGCCTGAATGCCAAGCGTCACGTCTGGAGGACGTCTGGCATCATCCCTACGGTGAAGCATGGTGGTGGCAGCAATCATGCTGTGGGTGTATTTTTCAGCGGCAGGGACTGGGAGACTAGTCAGGATTGAGGGAAAGATGAACGGAGCAAAGTACAGAGAGATCCTTGATGAAAACCAGCTCCAGAGTGCTCAGGACCTCAGACTGGGGCGAAGGTTCACCTTCCAACAGAACAATGACCCTAAGCACACAGCCAAGACAATGCAGGAGTGGCTTCGGGACAAGTCTCTGAATTTCCTTGAGTGGCCCAGCCAGAGTTCGGACTTGAACCCGATCGAACATCTCTGGAGAGACCTGAAAATAGCTGTGCAGCGACGCTCCCCATCCAACCTGACAGAGCTTGAGAGGATCTGCAGAGAAGAATGTGACAAACTCCCCAAATACATGCGCCTTTTACTGAGGAGTGGCTTGTATCGTCATACCCAAGAAGACTCAAGGCTGTAATCGCTGCCAAAGCTGCTTCAACAAAGTACTGAGTAAAAGGTCTGAATACTTATGTAAATGTGATATCTTGTTTATTTTATTAAAAAACTGTTTTTGCTTTGTCATGGGGTACTGTGTTTAGATTGATGAGGGAAAAAAACGATTTAATCAATTTTAGAATAAGGCTGTAATGTAACAAAATTTGGAAAAAGTCAAGGTGTCTGAATACTTTCCGAATGCACTGTATCTCTCTAAGAAGTGGGCGGGGAGGGGTGATCAACTATACCTCTCCTCATTCCACTGAACACTACACCCCCACACCAAAGAGAGTACAGTATGACGATAGGCTAAAACTGCTTTTCCAATAGAAATCCCCGATTACACTTGTAGGCGATGTCTAGCAATGTGTAGAAAAACATCGTCATATCTAACGGTCAGAGTAATAACATGTTCAACTACTTAAGATATTTGCTCGAATCTAGGTTGTGCCTTTAGATTTCGAGAACATTAACAACTAAGGATGAATTTTTCACTTCTCTCATTGACTTGTCAAACCCCAAACCCCTGCCTGGTCTGTTTGGTCTGTTTCGCAAGCATTCCCTGAAGTCTCGAGTTGTTGTGCCTTTGGGTTTATAAACTCTGTGCCCACACCACCCTTCCTTTTATTTTATTTCCGGTGATCAAATCACTGCTTATGGGAAGTCTGCTGGACACTGATTATGGGAAGTCTGCTGGAACATGGCAGAAAATTATGGAATGCCATTTGTGACTTGTCAAAAAAGATACACGTCAAATAACACTACTTAACGTGTCAAATAAGCTTGTTGACCAATCAGGACCTGAATATCACTACAGGTCACATAATAATTGAACACGTTCATACATTCTTTTTACATAGTTATCACACATTGATTACACTATTACTTGTATTTCATATGTCACAGTAATTCACCAATTCGTATGCTATGATGCTGGTAGTGTTTTGTCTCATGCACATGCCGCTGCTGCACAAGGCAGACACACACTTCCCCAAGCTTTAGGACAGTGCTGGTCAGGAGAAAAGCTAGCTAGCTGATGGATGCAAACAATATTCTCCCCCAAAAACATAGCAAAATGACATCAACTGTTTCAGTAGCTAAAATACCCTTAATTTATAAGACAGTTTTGTATCTGGTTGATGATGGTCGGACCGTGTCCAATCAACCCACACTAGATGAAGCTAGCTATCTGCTTATAACATTAGCTTGGTGCAACAGAGCTAAGTAGCTGGCTAGCTTGTTTAGTTAGTTATCTAGCTAGCTAGCTAGTTATTTTCATGAACTGAAGTTTGATTTCGATAGGAGAACAACAAGTCGCTGCCTAGCTAATACTTAGTCATGTATTCCTAAATCATTGCTAAGAATATTGAAAATTATTGCAGTTTCTGGTCATTCACTTCCAATTTGAAACTGCAGTAAAAGTGCAATTATTGCAGTCGACTGTGGTATTTTGAATAAGTGGAGTTACACTGCAAAATTACTGCAGTGAAAATTTTTTGTTATTTTGGATGCAGTATTTGTAGCATAATGCAGTTATTCTGCACTTGAACTACAATCTTCTCATAAGGGTTGTTTTCAGGCTGGTTGCATTGGTGCTAGCTAGGTACAAATTTGCTAATAACATCTGTATCAAAGATATTTGTGAGTGACTTTGTCATAATGCAAACTGAAGTCAATTTAGTAGAGAGACAGCCACCTCCAGTTTCCAAACTGTCATCAGTGTTAACAGAATGGTTGATTATTCTGTATTTTGACTAGCTAGGATGAATCAGGTGCAACTGCTTGAGATGTGGCTGGCTGGCAGGCAGAAGCAGCAGGATCACCATCCTTTCTTCCCTGGATGGTTGCATGTCAGGGATAATGTTGGACTACCAAGTATTTATTTTTTTATCCTGCTCGTTTGATCCTGATCTTATTTCAAATGCTCACACAGCTGTTTTCCCATTCGGTCGAACAAATAATGGCTTATACTGACTGACTGTAGTGGTGGAGCTTGGTTTGCGCATGCACATTCAATGCATACAACATTCTGTAATAGAATTTTGTTATTTG